ACTTTTTTTTTTACCCCGTCGCATTGAAACGACCGCGTGGCCGGTCTGTGTTCTTTCTTTCCTCCGATGTCGAAACAGAGTTCACGGCCGATGTACGGCACGACTCGCATTCCATGCGAACCCTTGCGTGCTATCATAAGGACCCTACATGCACAGGAGTGGCTGAACTCAAGCAGCAGTACGTCGCTCGATATGAGTCCCCCCAAGGGTCCAACATCAAACGTGCACACGGCGTCGGGCGGTGATGGGACGAACGAGTGTGGCGTCCGGCGCGAGGCGGTGGTGGCTTGCGGGCGGCCGCATCTGGTGATGCCCGGCGTCTGACTCTGGCGTATGCGGAGGTATTGGAACGTTGGGCCGGTGGCTTGATTTCTCTGCAGGTGTCACTTCCTTGATTGATGCTATTCTTGACTCCGGATCCTTTTTTTCGAGACGTAGACGGAGGCCATACAGTCCCCCAAGGCCCGGGACTTTTCCCACAGCCTGTTCACGTATCAGGGTGCAGCTCGGTCCGGGGCATTTTCGAGATGGATTTCTTTTCCTGCGTCAATGACACGTACATTAGCTGGAGAGGCAGGAGTCGAGTGCTGAAACACATCTTGTTGTGTTGGAAATACCCTCCCTCCCTCCCTCATTCCCTCAACCTCATTCTCATTTTGTCTCTGTGTTTCTGTCTCGAATGCAGAACATCAGTCAGGGTTTGGCGCGCATGACAGGGCGAGACGCCATTGTCTTAGATTGGTATCGCCGAGACTTGCCGTCGCGACATCCACTGAAATCTGATATGCAGAGTACACCACACTTACAACCACGTAAAATCGGATCTCGGGGTGTTTTCTTTTCGCATGGACATGCCTCCCACATCTCTAAGCCGTAACTGAACGCGCCGTACACGTTCGTTCTGTAAGTGCTTCTCAAGTCACCGCTACGTTGGGCACAACGACGTCGTCCTCGTCGTCGGTGCTCGAGTCGTACAGAGTTACCAAGCAAACCTCCATCGAAGACACAGAACCGCAACGGGAACACAGCGTGTCACGACAGTCTGTACGTCCTCATCGAGGTTACAGCGACCCGAACCCGCTTACAAGCGGCCGACATGACATGCTGCCGTGCGACGCGGGCGGCTGACTCTCTCACTCTCTGTCCTTGTGTATGCTGTGTGTATGTATGTATGTCTCTCCTTCTTCGGGATGGGTGGATGCCCCAAGTGACATGCCAGTAGTGTACGTGAACGAAGGGAGCAACCGCAAGCGGTGCACTCACACACTCGGGTGGTACAAGGAACGGAGTTGCGGAGTGAGCGGTATTTTTTCCTCGGTGATGATGATATCGGGATACTCTGAGCGGGAAGCCGAGGTAGAGGAAGTAGAATTACTAGAAGAGGAAGAAGCAGTGAAAAACCTTAATTCGTTCCCATGTCGGTTGGCGTGTTCATGTCGCAAAGCTGGGGCGGTAAGGCATGGGAAATGTCGCCTGAAACCTTGATATATGGGAGCAAACTACGCAAGAAATGTGATATGTTACACCGGAGGAAGGGAAAGGTACCCGAGAGGCAGATGGACGACGTCCCCGAGTCATTCTTACAGCATTAGCAAAAATGGGAATAATCGAAGCGGAGGAAGGGAGGAGGCATCGAGATTGTAATGGCTTAATCACAATTGAGACATGCTCGGACTCGATCCCGATTCCTCGATTATACCAGAGCTCCTCTCCAACTGAAAGGATGAGGCGCGTCAGGAAGCCCCGATCCGACTGAAAACGAGACTCTCCGTTTTGGGAAAACGATGTCATAGTGTTGTACTCGTACAGTTTATAGGCTCCAGCTCTCGCGAGCACGAGGTCGAAGGGCGGTAGTTACAGGCGCAATGCGATAGTTGCGCTCTGGTGCACTTACACAGAGATACCGATTACGGGCCAAGGACCGCGCTTGCGGTTGCGATGCCAAGGTCAGGTATCCCTCGTCTCTCATCAGCCTCTCATTGCAACGACTGGCAGCTTCGCTCTGGCTGTTGAACGGGGGAAAAAGCCACCGAAGTATCTCAGAGGCAAGAAAACTAATGTGGCCAAGCTGGACCGTTGGACAAGCAGGGGTCTTCTGGACGCACATTCGGGGAGCACAGCAGTCCAGTCGCGGAATCCCACGAAACCCTGCAGCCCGCAGGAGTAGGATGCGGTGCTTATCCTTCCCTACCTCGCGGGAGACAAATGAGATATGCGTGTGTGTGTGTGTGTGTGATGTACAGGCCTTAGCCGTGTGAGAGGCGGGATGGGATGGGACGGGACGGGATTTGGGAACAGAGAAGCAGGCATGGCGAGTACAACAGAAGACCGGTAACAAATAACCAAGGAATAGACAACCACCCCGTGGAACCCACGGTGTGTGTCTTGCCCGCATAGAGCTAGGTAGAGATGCCCGAGAAAGTGGTCCCGCGGTACGGTGTACCGGCTGCTGCCGGGGTTTGCGTTCGCGTCCGTGGTTCGTCAGGTGGCATTTCATAGACCTGCATGCCGGGGACAATAGCGGTGAAGGTGTGTCGGTGTATTTCAGTTTACCTGACTTTTTTTTTGGTGTCCAGGGTGTGGAATGGGTCCCCCGCCTCCTGTTCTTATCGCAGGCCGATGGTGCAAACTCGCAACCAGCGAAAGAGATTCGATGCTGTGATATTGATCCTTTCCTATGAGGTATAATGAGCGCCGTCGCGCGCAATGTATGATGTGACCGACGCTGCAAGAACATGGGCTTCGGCAACCGACCCAACGTGAAGCATTGGCTCGGTGTCTTGTGACTCCGTCGTTAGGCATGGGAACGAAACATAGATTTGCGATCCGGCCGAATGGGAATACACCACATGGACGCCACTTGAGCAAGCTCGTCTACCTAGGATGCAGGAGGTGAGATGGGCGAGAGTCAGGACTCAGGATGGCCTCGCTTGCTTGCTTTTTTGGTGCCCAGCCTGCGCACCTCCCGGGGGAATGCGATAGAAGGAAGTTTAAATTCTTGTTTTTTCCGTGACAAGCGGGCGGAGAATCGCATCGCATCGGTGAGCCGGCCTGGACTAGGCTGGTCGTCGGCGAACTGACCGACATGTGGATTTCCACATGGGGCTCCTCCGACGCAGCGAGGCGGACGCAACAGTACTCGCGCCATGCGTTCGCGTCCCGCGCTCTTGCATTCTTCCCCTCTATCTCACTTATCCAAGTGCAGGATGAGGGTGAAAAGAAAGCGTTTCCGGCGATCTCCCAAGAAGCGGGAATCCAGACCCCCGGTCCCCGGCTTGGGACAGGAGGGGCGCATTGCATTGCCTCGAGGTTGTCAACGTGACTGATCTGCTCGCTTGGTAGGGTGATACAGCGCCGGGCTCGGCTGGATGGTGGTTGGGTTGGTTGGTCAGGATGTTCGTCGTTACACCCAATCCACGATGAGCGTTTGTACCGTCGATGCATACGACAGATCCGAACAGCACCACCAACAGCTCTAGGACTAATATGAGAGCGGTTTTCGAGGTACGTGACCTGCCCTAGGGTTCGGAATCTTCCTTCCCGGAAAGGATTGTCGCTGCGGGAGGGCCCGTTTCTCGTGAGTTGTCGTTGTCTATGTGCCGCCCGCAAAATGTGTCTGGTTAGCTCCATGCGCGGTGCGGTCATGCCCCCCGGGGACGGGCCGGAGGATGTCGGCCGCGGGTGGGTGATTTTTGAGTGGATTTGTGGTGACATCGCCGCCCGCCCGCCGCCGTCGCCGCGGGCGGGGCCACACCGCACGCTTGCGCAGCGACGACAGGTGCTGTTGGTCTGGAACCCATGCTTTCTTCGTGCATGATAAGTCTGGTACCTGGGTTACATGAGAGATACGTAAACTGTACTTTTGTCGAAGTTGCGGTGGACTCTGTCGCTGGGGGTCAGATCCTTTTCAGAAGAAGTGTTGCAGAGCGATTTGAATTGAGGCCATGATGTCCGGAAAAGTCGATGGCAGAAGGAAGGTACGTCTTGTTCCCCTTCCCTTCCCTACCCTTCCAGTTTCGCGGAGTCCAAGACGGCATATGAGCTGTCACCGACTCATGGAACGTCTCAATGACGGTACCATGGCTCGGGGTTCGGGAGCTGTTAAGAATGGCGAGAGCTGACAAAATGCACGAGGATAAATCGAGACGAATCTGTGTCATATGCATCGCATCGCGTCGCGGTAATTCCCAAATCGCCCTGCGGTCTCGGATGTGAGTGAGATGGAAAGCAGGAAGGCCTGGATCATTGCAGTGATAGCGCGTAAGCTTGACCATGGAGATGTTGAGATTGTGCGTAGAAGTTGCGCGGCCCAGCCCGGCCATCCGGAGTGACCAAGAAAGTAGCCGGCCTCAGTAGTTCGGACGAGATGTTGTTGACAGGAGACCAATGAAGTCCATTTGAGGCTGGGTTGTATCGGTGACATTTCCTTGGGGGAGAAGGTTAGCGGGCTTCGGGAAACTGCCCGCCCATCAGCAGTAACAGAAGTGGGGTGGTGACTGTCGCAAGAATTGACCCCACGTGCCCACCGCCTTCCCAAACAAGACACCCCTGCATAATTCAGCCTTGCGCGAAGTCGCGAAAGCTGCGTAGCTTCCAGGTCCGAAAAGTCAGCCTCGCCACCAGAATCAACCAGCTACCCTGACAAAGAAGACCTATTCCAAGCGATCATTTTGCTCTGAATTAGACCAAAACCACTAACGGATGACCATTTCATCAGAGGTAAGGCCCCTTTGACACAGATAGAACAGCTTCAAAGGCTAACGAAGACATCGCAGTATTCCCCCATTCAAACCTCCACTTGTTTGTCACCTTGTGATCATACGCCTGGTCCATTCGTCCACGACGGGGCTGAATAGTCCTTAAAAAAAGAGTTACTGAGAGACTGGGAGGAACCTGCTTGGTGAAGCATCAACTGCTTTGTCAACCCCAAAGAAACTGCCGACGCGTGCGCCCTGGGAACCGCCCTCCAACCATACACACATCCTCTCAGATCATCAACCATGTCAAGCCAGGCGCCCTCTACCCCAGTCAAGGTGCCGACCTCGGCCGCAAACCACTCAGCAGCGACTCTAGACCCCGAGCTCCGCTCACAGATCAACACATTATTACTCAAGGAAGGCCACGTCACAAAGTAAGCCACGCTTCCCCCTTCCTAGCCACAATAGGCACCCCGTCAGTCGCAATACTGATATCTGTTCCCACCAGAATCCAAGAACACCTCCTCCACAGCCTCCACGCAAACCAGGCAAACTGGCCAACTCTCATCCAAAACCATGCTCTCAACCTGCTCCGCACCGGCGAGGTAACGACCTTCCCCGCCCTGCTCCGTCGCGTCCTGGACGACGTCCGCCAGGACACCCTCAACCCGCCCGCGCCATCGACCGCCTCGCCCTCTACAGCCAAGACCAACGGCACGACCGACAAGGATAAGAAGACTAACGGCGCTTCGTCAACCCCGACGCCCGCCCCCGGCGCAGCGGCAGCGGCAGAGCCTCCCAGCCTCGCCATCCCGGCTGCCGTCGTTGAGGAGGCCGTCAAGGTGACGCGCGAGAGCTTAGAGGCGGTTTGCGAGATTGACGATGCGAGCGGAAGCTGAGAGGTCCACGGATTATCTTTGGGAGGTGGCAAGGTGGCGAAGGGGATCGAGGAAGACGGGAGCTGTTTTGGAGCTCCCCGGAGTAATGAACCACGATCCATTGAGGCTGCGGTTATGACCGGACAGCAGGGATGAGATCTGGCTGGGTCGAACGGAAGACTCAGGGATTAACGAAAAGCCTTTGATGTCCTTAAGACGATGCAGCGGCCGGCATCGCGTGTATGTATAAATTTGTATTCGATAAGAAGGGATCCGGCTTTCCAGAGAAGGGGAAGAGTCCATACGATATCAACATTCTAGAGAGTCAGTCATGCAATGATCCAAAAACAGATTGACGTAGCACATATGCGTTGCGTATCATATTCCTACTGTGAAAGCCAGGACTTTCGGCAAAAGCTCATTCATCTTGCACTCACACTTCATTCTCTTTCACTCGCATCGAATTAGATCGTGGTGTGTTCAACTTGTTAAGACTGACTACCTGTCTACCAACTCCATCCGCCCCCAGATTTCCACCTAGAATGGATGTCTGTGACCCTGTGCATCATCTGTTCATTTGATGATGTAGATGTATCGGAGAGCGTAAAGAAAAACTAAAATACAAGGCCGGCCAGCATTAAGTGGCATTCTACCGCAGCCCACCCTTTAGTCGTAGAGATCATCATCGTTACCAGCGTCACCGAAGTTGTTGGCAGCCTGGTTGGCCGCGTTCTCGCCCTCGGGGAACTTGAAGAATGCGCCAGGACCAGCGTTCTTCATTTGCTGGGCAAAGGCCTCGTACCGGCGAATCTCGACGTCGCTGACGGAACGGCGGGCCATCTGCATAGCCTCCTCGAAGTGGCGCTTGGTGAGCTCGGGGACGGGGTCCTCCTCATCCTCATCCATGGCCTCCTCGCCAGCAGCCTCGCGAGCCTTGGTCTTAGCGATATCAGCAGTGATAGCCTCCTTGATGGCAAGCTTGACAGCACGCTGAGTGATGAAGCCCAAGTCGGCACCGGAGAAGCCGTGGGTCTTGGAGGCGATGAAGTCGAGGTCGACATCGGCAGCGACGGGGGTCTTGCGAAGCTGAGCCTTGAGGATACCGGCACGAGCGGGCTGGTCGGGCAGGGGAACGTAGATGAGCGAGTCCAGACGGCCGGGACGGCACAGAGCAGGGTCAAGCTGCTCAGGTCTGTTGGTGGCACCGATAACGAAGACATTCTTCTTCGAGGTCATACCGTCCATCTCTGTAGGGGGGTTAGCGATTGAATCGACGTATCGACCAAGCAGGATCAGAACTTACCAGTCAGAAGCTGGTTGACAACACGGTCAGAGGCACCGCCAGCGTCACCCATGGATCCGCCACGAGCCTTGGCAATGGAATCCAACTCGTCCAAGAAGACGATGCAGGGGGCGGCAGCACGGGCCTTGTCGAAGATGTCTCGGATGTTGCTTTCAGACTCACCGAACCACATGCTGAGAAGTTCGGGTCCCTTAACGGAGATGAAGTTGGCAGAGCACTCGTTGGCAACGGCCTTTGCCAACATCGTCTTACCAGTACCAGGGGGTCCGTAGAACAAGACACCGCGGGACGGGGAGAGACCGAACTTGAGGAACTTCTCGGGGTGGTCGACAGGGTATTGGACGCTCTCTTGCAACTCGGCCTTGACAGTCTCGAGACCACCAATGTCCTCCCAGCGAACGTTGGGAACCTCGACAACGGCAACCTCGCGCAGGGCGGAGGGGTTGGAGACGCCAAGAGCGAAGCGGAAGTTCTCCATGGTGACGCCAAGGGAGTCGAGAACCTCGGCATCGATCGTGTCCTCGTCAAGGTCAATCAGGTCCATCTTCTCGCGAATCTGCTGCATGGCAGCTTCGGAGCAAAGAGCAGCCACATCAGAACCGACATAACCGTGAGTCTCAGCAGCGATCTGCTCCAAGTCGACGTCGTCGCCAAGCTTCATGTTCTTGGTGTGAATCTGAAGAATCTCGAGACGGCCAGTGGGGTCGGGAATACCGATATCGACCTCACGATCGAAGCGACCGAAACGACGCAGGGCAGGGTCGATGGAGTTGGGTCGGTTGGTGGCAGCCATGACAACGACGTTGGAGCGAGCCTTCATGCCGTCCATGAGGGTGAGAAGCTGGGAGACCACGCGACGCTCGACCTCGCCGTTAGTCTTGTCACGCTTGGGCGCGATAGAGTCGATTTCATCAATGAAGATGATTGCGGGAGAGTTCTTCTCGGCCTCCTCAAATGCCTTGCGCAAGTTGGACTCGGACTCACCGGCCATCTTGGACATGATCTCGGGACCGTTGATCAGGAAGAAGAAGGCACCGGTCTCGTTGGCAACAGCTCGTGCCATCAGAGTCTTACCGGTACCGGGAGGACCGTAGAGAAGCACACCGCGAGGGGGCTTGATACCGATAGACTTGAAGAGCTGGGGATGGCGCAGGGGCAGCTCAACCATTTCGCGGATCTGAGCCATCTGCTTCCTGCAACCACCAATGTCGTCGTAGCCAACCTCGTTCAGGTTGTTCTCCTCCTCGTCGCGCTGGATGGGCTCGCCCTCGCAGTGGATGACTGTATCTTGGGCAACAATGCCGTACTCGGGAGGGTCGACCTCTACGACCTTGAACTCTACTTGTCTCATACCACCGCGAACGATGAAGAGATCGCCCTGGCGGACGGGTCTGTAGGCCTCGCGGAAGTAGGGAGCGAGGAAAACGTCGAAGAGGGATCCGGTGATACCCTCAACAGTGTCTGCAATAGGCAGGACGGCGATGCGCTTGGCCTGGGAGGGTATTAGCATTCTGTCTCAGAAATGGAGCTCGCTCGAGCTAGAACATACGTATTTGATGTCGGGGCAGGGGTGAATGGTAATCATGTCGCCGTGCTTCACCCTCAAGTTGTGGCGAACGACACGGTTGATACGAGCACTGCCGTCATCGAGCTCATCGTCTGCAAGGACGATGAGGACGGTGTCCTTCCTCTTCTTGCCGCGCACAAGTACGGTGTCACCGCGGAAGAGCTGCAGAGCCTCCATGGTGTTCTCGGACAGAGCGATGATGGAGTTGTCATCGTTCACGGCATCGGTAACCCTGCTTTAGTCAGTATCGCGAACATTACCCCACACCTTCCACAGCTAACGTACATCAACTGGTTGGGCTTCTTCTTCTTCTTGAGGATGGCGGTCGCGGTATCATCTTGCTGTTTTCCGTAGTCAGTATCATCGTCGATTGGGACAACTCTCGTAGCGAGCTTGGAGGGTAGACAAACATCCTTAGCCTCAGCACCAGAGGCATCCCTGTTGGTCACAGTCAGCGTCGTTCCTCCCGAAATCTAGTGATCCCAGCGAAGTAGGATATCTCGGCATCGACTCACGTCAAGTTGACCTTCTTGTGCTCGGCGGGCTGTTCCGATGGAGGCGCCATCTTGACTATATTCTGTGTTCTGACGGACTCGGATCGTACGTAGCTGAGTAGGTGAGGGAAGGTGGGATCGTCAGCGTTGTGTGGGGTTGACTGGCGATTGATGTGTTTTCCGTTAAAATGCGGAAGACAGGAAGGAAGGAGGATTTGTATCCTTCAGGTGGTGTGCGATGGAGAAAGGAAATTCGTGGATCGCGGAGATAAAGGTGGCAGAAGGTTTTGGGAAGCTTTGGTTTTGAAGGACCAAGGTGTAGTAAAGGCCAGCAGAGGTAGGTGACGGGAGGCGGCTTTCACTCTAGACAACCAATGAAATCATAGGGTGGGGCGGATTAAGTGGTCTCCGGTGAGTTCGGAGGCTTAGCTAATGCGGTATTCCAGGGTTCTATATCTGGCCCAAGCTCTATGATTCAGTTGTCGCCAGGGCAGTGGAAAGTGTTGGAAGCTTCCACTTGCTGAGGTGACCTTGACGGCCCAGGAAGGTAGGCAGTAGGCAGCCTTTGGGCCGCGCAACTCAAGGCAGGTACCTACCTTACCTCCACTGACCTCAGCACTTTGGCACTCAGGCACCTCAGGGCGGCCCGTCAGTGTCGCAAACACGGCCACGCGCCTCTACAGTATCCACCCCTGGCTTTCCGGTTCCTGCCTTATCGCATTTTGCATTAGTGAGCTAACTGAGCTTTATCTACATGGCAATTCTCACACCTTTGCCTCACCGAGATCACCTCATACCTACTATGGGTCGCTCTCCCCTCTTTGCCAGCGTTTATGGCCTTAGGTTGACGGCCTTTTAGTTCCTTACCTTAGACACACGGCAACATGCTTAGTGCGGCGGCAAAAGAAGGAATGGACGGACGAGTGACGGAAAGAGCGAGCGACTTCTTTGTTTATTCTGCAACGCACTTGAAATTTTTTCAAAGGAGCGGCGAAACCGACACACGACAAAATCCAACCACCCAACACAGAGGCGACTTAGGCAATTGATGCATGCGGCGGCAAACTAACGAACGACAACCGGCTTGTTGCCTGCTGCAAACAAAACAGGACTCCGTCTCCACCACATATCTCTCTCATCCAGCCACAGAACGAACCCTGGAGGCGAGTCATCCGCCGGTTGCTCGTACCCCGAAACTCCTGCACAGTCGCGGGACAACCCATCGCCAATCCCGTCATTGTACAGCCATTGGATGCTCACACTCAGTCAGACAGCAAAACTCCGATTCTTCATCGCTTCCTGCCGAGATAGCGGCCAGGTGGCAACCTTTGGCCGCCAGCCAAGGAATCGAGGAATCATTGCCGCCGCCGAGTGGTCGAACACGGGAACGGCGTCTGTCGCCGAACGCATGCTCGGGAGCACGTTGATGTAATGCTCCAACAGCCTGAGTCCAAGGATGCCGACTCCGAAGCGGGGGCTGCCAACGGCGATCCGCTCCGCGTTGTTGGTCGTTTGCAGGAACGACTCTCGCAGCCACGAGAGGCCCCACGGATTGCTATCGTGGAGGGCTAAGGCGTGGTCATGGCTGGACGTGTCCGGGTGTCTGTTTGTCCGCGTCAGAAATTTCCGTTGCCGCGGCCGGTTCCTGGTGCTCACTCGTGAGACTGCTCCGCGTCATCGGAGCCTATTTCCACCACTTCGGAAGCGAAGCTCATCTGATCACGCTTCGTCGTCGGTCTCGTGGCTTGGCGGGCCGGTCCGAGCTGTTGTCAACAACTATATTGGCTTGGGCCGTTCGTCTGTTCGTCGTTCTAGAAGGACTGGAAGTATGCCACTGCGGACGGCTGCAACTTGTACTTGCGCTGTGAAGGGACGAGTGCCGCGGCGCTGCTGGATCGTACATCACCGATGTGATGTTGGCGGTCTCTTATATATGCGATCGCTGGAGCGTTTATTCGACCCGGCTGGTGGCCTCCCGCTATCCCTCCGTCGCGGCGCCCAAACTGCCGGTACGGGCCCTAGCCAGCCCGGCCTGGGAGCAGAAGCTCTCTAAGATCGCTCATGTGTGGTTCACCAGCCTGCTGCAGGGTTGGGGGCCAGGATTGGCTGTGCATGCCTTAGCATTGCTGTGTGGCACAACCTGTACCATACTACTCAGCCCAGTGTCTTGCTAGCCTCACGGCGCTGAGAAGCTTGTTCATCCGCTGGGCCTGTTTCCTCGTGGCATGCAGCTGCTTATCTCTGCAGAACTCCTGCTTCCTGGGCCGACTCTTCAGGATCCAAATTCGACAACGGAACTCGATGCTCCCGCGACGTACGTACGGACGCGATATTTGCAGACAACCTCACCGCCAGCAACTCGATCAGACAGCTACCTCGCCCAGCACAGTCTTCGTCTCGAAATATGAGTCCCCATCTGGTAAGCTAGCAGGGAGCTTCACAGCACTGTGACGATATAGCACATATCTCCCCAGTAGCCACAGCCCCAGCCATGACCTGACTTATCCCACAACACCGCGCGCACATCGTCACAATGTCACACCCTCCAGCGCTTAACGCTGCTGGCGGACCAGACAGAAACCACACAGCCCCTTCCTTCCCATTCTTCCATACCTTCTAGCGAGCGTTTCTCTTCTCGCTCCTGCTGATGTGCCGCTCCCCATCTGCAGCACCCGTCCCCGCGCCCGTTCCGGAGACCTCGAACTCTCTGCCGGCTTCCGACTGCACAGCCTTCTGATATCACATCTACGATCAAAGTCGACAAACATTGAACAGCATCATCTTCAGACCATGCAGCCCTACCTTGGCAAGCTCGAATACGAACGCCATCCCGGCTTCGCCAACCATGATAACCCCCTCTGCCGTGTTCCACTGACGATAGCAAACCACCTCCGTCATAAACACAAAGTAATCTCCGCTGCCTGCTGCCCCAGCCTGATCACTCAATCCCGTCACCAAACATCGCTCGCTCCATGTTGCTGGCTCCTTTGCCGGCCCTCACGCCGGCAGCCTGATCGTGATATATCTCCAGGGATGTCCAGATAAGCCCCCCCGCCCCGCCGTCGCCGGCACCCCCACCCCCGCCAATGGTCCGAGAAAGACGGGAGCACCGCACCTCAGCTCCACGGGTCCGTCAGCACTAGACCGCCCACTATCGATGCTATGCTTGTACATTCTGGCCCCCAACCTAAGCTGCACGCCAACCCTACCTTAAAAACTGATAACCCCGACTCTTAAAGGTTGCAGACGGAGGGTAACGTGACGAACAGCTACCGGACGCCGCCTCTCAGCCCCCAGGTTACCTCCTCCATCGTTCCGAGATCTAGGGTTGAAATGTTGAACGTCGATTTCGCAGCCTGAGAGCTGCCGGGTCCGAACTGGCAAAAGCTTGTCCCTCGCCGCGGGCTCGGCTCTGGGTATGGTTGGTTCGGGCTTAAGATGCCAACATGAATAAATCAAGATCGCGGTCTGGGGTCATTATTGGAGTGCGAAAATCATTCATTGAGACGAGAGAAACCGGAGTATTCGGTGTCAGACGCTAGGCGCTATATATATAATACAATGTCGTTGTCGCCTGCAGAGATGCGATGGGGTAAGCCCAAACTCCTTCCTTCTCCCGTATGCGGTTCCCAGACCCAAGGGCGGGAGAGGCGCCCAAAATAATGCAATATACAGAGCAAAGTTCGCTTTTGTAGTCCGTTTCCCAAGAAAAAATAATCAGCTTTGCTTTTGACCCCCTTTTGTTCTCCCATAAAAGTTCAGTTACTCTTCCGTGAGAATCGGTTGATATCTCATCTGCAGCACCCATTTGTTGTCGAAATCAATGCCTCTCCGGATCTTGGTTCCGGCTTTCTTCCATACGGCTGCGCCAAGACCCATGTCGGCAATGAAAAGCTTCCAGTCTTCGTCCTCGGCAACAGCCCCTTCTGCTGTGGAGTTGTTGACAGCGGGGTCTGATTCTGATGGCGCCATAGCTTCGAGCAGGCCTTTCTTCGGTGCGCCCATAGCGACGACGAATCGTGGCTTGACGTACAGTCGGCCGCCGTCGATGATACTGACCTTCCCAGTCGACGGGTCGATACCAGTCGGCACGTCCACCGCAAGCACAAAAGCTTCGTTTCGGTTGGCCCATTCAATCAATTCGTACACAGTCGCTTGATCCCCTGTCCGCAATTCCTCGAATGAGATGGCCAAGCCCAAGAGGGCGTCGATGATGAGGGTCACGGAGGTGGCTGGGTTCGAAGAGGTTTTCCGCAACTGCTCAAACAATTCCAGCTTGTTGTGCACGCGACCGCCGAAGTTCTTGAAAATCCGAATCTGCTGTCGCATATCTTCGAGCAGGTCCCGCTCCCGCTCAATACCAACGACGCACACAAGAATATTGAGAGCCTTGTTCCGCAGGTGACGGGCTGCTGCAATCGCCCTGATGCCAGACTTGTTGTTGCCAGCAAGTATGACAACAGTAGCAGCGGCGACTGGGTTGTCGGCTTGAGCATTAGCACCGCCAGTGCCCAGCCGAACCTGGATGGCTGGATCTTCAAGCGCCTTCATAGTCACCTCCGCGATGCCCCGCCCTGCGTTCTCGGTCATCATGTCTTCAGTCAGTCCGACTTCATTAGCCGCAATATTTTCGAGGTTCAGCATTTGAAGGGCAGACACCGTTTCTAAGCGCCGGTTGGATGGCAAGAGATAGAAGCCAGGCTGGGTACCTTGCTGCAGGGAGTTAGTACTGAGAAGGCTCTGCGAACTGTTTTGACGAAGCAACGCTTGGGACTGTCTGCTCAGACGTACGCTGGAATTGCCGCGATTCAGGGGCTGGCTTGTGAGCTGCGTGCTCGCTTTGCGAGATTGCGACCTTCTTGCAGCCCCTGGTTTGCTGTCTGCCCTCCGACTACTCTGGGCGCTGCGGACATCACGACCACTCAATCGATCAGCACCGTTCACGGCGTCGTCGGCCTCGCTGTTCCAAAAGTCCTGACTTGCCCTGGAAGTGTTGGCGGGCATATCGAGAACGTTCTCACTGTGGTGAAAGTTCTTTCCTCCTGCAGTTCCTGGTTTCGGCTTCCGGTTGTGCGTTACCAAGCGGTCCGCCTCATCGACCAGGTCTTCCTTACGCATCTGATCGAATATGGTGCGCTTGTCGAACTTGGCCAGACTGCCCTCAAAGTCAAATTCCCCCATCTCTTCCGTGACATCTTCGGACGCCCAACCGTTTTCGGGGAGGTCCTTCTTGCCCTTCACTCCTCGCTTCAAGGAGTTGAATGGTTGGAACGAGGGCGAGCTTTGCAAGATAGGCGTCTGCCTCCAGCCCTTTCCACGAGCAGAGGGGTTTCCACGAGTTGGTGTGCTCTCTTGCGCATGCTCTCCTGAGACTCCATTCTTCGGGATCTTGGATCTCTCCTTTCGCTTATTCTTCTTTTTCTGCGACGGACCTGCTGCTTCGTGCGCACCTTGCGCGCCCACGCCATTATCAGCGGCGTAATGTCTTGCAGCAGTAGGCGTTAGCTCGTCTACGTGAAGCTCCTGCAGAGATTCGCTAAGGCTCAGGGCCGCATCATCGTGTCCTCGTCCTACAGCAAGGTGCACCGCGGGCAGGACGCCTGGCTGTCCGAGCTGAGGACCTCTCGGGGCGGCCACAGTCGGTTGAGGTATTACTTCGGGGAGTGGTTGATTATCGCTTCCGCTTATGGCACCCGATCCAGGGCGGTTTCCCATACTGAGAATCGCGGGGTCAACGAACGCAGGTTGCGCCGGCTGGGCCACGACAGGGGCGGGAACAGGACTGATGCCTGGCGCAGTGAATGTATTGGGCGTAACATCGTCTTTGTACTCGGAAACGTCGACGATGTTGGCGGCGTCGATCACGGCCCTGGGAATCCAATGGTTTGTACCCAAGGTGAAGACTGCAGCAAAGATGGTCAGCATGATGAATTCTGCGATGTGGTTTCGATCGGTGACTTGCCGTTGGCCAGAGTGAGGCTCACGCCAGGCTCTATCTCGCTGACCGTGCCTTTGAGCATAGTGCCCTCAGGCTGCCGCAGCGTCACCAACATCTGCAAGCCGATGAAGTCCATCGTGACGATTGCGTCACAGCGCCTAGTTGCTGAGTCGTCGGTTGTATCAGAATGCACCACCCGGGGTTGGCGTGGGGTTCTGTGGAAAGGGCTAGCGGCGCAGATAGAAGTCGTTGAACGTGATGAGTGATTCGCGAGTCGTCAAAGAATGTTGATACGTGGTTTCCGGTCGCTAAGTCGAGTTGGTGGGGTTGAGCGAAGAAGTTGAATCAAGAGACGGTGGTGTGTCGTGATGGACTAGATAGCTCTTCCCCCAATTCCCCCTCGGACACATTCACTTGCTGGGTTTGGGTTCCCTTAACTTTTTCCCTGGCCTAATGCTTATCGATAAGGCAGGTGCCTGGGGGACCAGGGCAGGTGCAGGTTCCAGACCAAGGTCACGGGGATGTATGGATCGATTGGTGGCGGGAAGCTGCTGCTGCCGCTGTAAGAGCAGACGGGACGAACGTCATGGGCGCAAGCTTCCCGTCGCCAGCTAGGTACTTTTTAGCGCATTGTTTCAAGGTCAGTGCCTCCCGAGCCCCTTCCCGTTGAAGCTCCTTGGTGGAGAGCACCCGACTGCGCTGGGCACTTTGACGCAGGTCCCTCACAGCTTCAACTAACTGTCTTGCTGTGTTACCAACAAATTAATATTAAACTCCCGAGTCATCAATAATTGGCACGATCCCAAGATCCATCCATGTACAACCTACAGCAACCTCTGTCTACCTCCCATGACTTCATCACCATGGTCAAATATCATTACGCTTGCAACGCCTCTCCAAATCCCAAGACCCTGGATTTATTTGCGCATGATGGATCGACTCAATGGGCGCCAGAGAAGACTTGACGATAGAAAATCCAGTCTCATCTTCGGCGTCTTTTCTGCTCAAGTTTCCACAGTAATAGCAATGTCAATGAGCTGCACAAAAGAGAGGTTTTGAGTTTCATTATGTCCTAAGTACGTTCAAAATCGGAGCAGAGTAATTCCCTGCCTTTGCAAGGCATGCTCCTAAGGGCCCAACACCGGAGCACCCCAGTCCAACAAGTATCTATGTCCAGACCGTCCCGACCTACCTACCAGCCCGAGCCACGACTTCCAAGTCGCATTTAGCCCGGAAGACTTCCTTCAACGCCGTCAAATGCTTTTAATAATGTACCTCTTGCCGGCAGCTCAGTAGCCGTAGCTTGCCATTGCCTCCTCCTCATCGTCCAGCTCAACCACCTCCACGCCCTTCTTAACAAATGACTGGGATCTGGAATTGAGTCCTGCAGTCTTCTTCTCTTTTGTTTCGTCTTCTTTGTGCAAGAAATCGGCCAAACTAGGCGGTTTCTTGGAAACAGCCTGCTCGGCACTGTATAACTTGTTGTAGAATTGTATAACCCGAGGATGGGCCATGACCTTGTCCTTCTGAAAGCGTAAGACTTGAAGGCCGTCTTGACACGTTGCTCGACTGAGTGCAACGTAGGCCTGTCCCTTTTCGAATACCTTGCCGAGATCGACTTTCACTCTCTCCAGAGTCTGTCCTTGAGCCTTGTGAATCGAAAGGGCCCATGCAAGGATCAACGGGAGTTGGTTGCGGCTGGCTTGCACCGTCCCGTCAGGTAGCTCGACCTTCCAATCCTCGGGAATGCACAGAATGGTACGAGTGCTGCCATCCACTGCCGAAAACTCAACAACGGGGAATTCGCCTGAGCTGCCTGTGGCTTCTTCGACTTCCCTGCTAAAAGCTTTAATCTTTTTCTTCGCTTTATCGTCCGGGTCCATCTCTCCATCGGATCCGATGTCCGCTCCGTGCCAATTTTCGAAACTGCCTTCAGTCATGAAGGCAATGACTTTTCCGAGGGAGCCGTTGACAAGTGTTTCGTCCATATTCTTGATGAGCATAACTTGGGCGCCGATCTTGAGCTCCAGAGTCTTTGGCGCCATCATATTCTGAAGGAGCTTGTCACGAATGTTTTGATCTCCAGCATCAGACGCGTCGTATCTCTTGCTTTTCCCGGGAAGGCTGCGCAGTCTGGCTTGGTTGGAATTCTCCACTTCATATCTTGTAGGGAACAGCTCGGTCACTTCCAGTCCGTCGTCAGAAACGATCGGTCTCGTCAGCTTTCTGAAAGATTGAACCGTTTCCTCGCTGATTCTGCCCAGACGCATCTCATTGAGCATGTTGGCGAAGACTACAACTGATTAGCGGTGGCACGGAAAAGAGTTTTCGAAGTGGCTTACCGGGATCTCTTTGTCGAAAGACTTGCGTCAACCCGATGGTGTGGTCAATTGCTGTGTTCCATGTTGCCGCCTCGAAGGCAAATTTGGCGTCTCTTGACTTGTCTCCGTCGGGAACTGGTGGAAGTTGGAAGAAGTCGCCTGTCACAACGAGCTGGATGCCTCCCCAGGGTTTGCCGTTGTTTCTGATTGTCCTGCCGATCTGGGACAATTTATCAAAGAGCTCTCCATCAACCATGGAGACTTCGTCGATAATGAGTGCTTTTGTCCTGAGCCAACGATTTTTGGCCTTCGGGTTGCGTCGAATCTTTTTGACCAGAGTCGCGACGTCATCCTTCCCGAGACCGATTCCAGAGAAGCTGTGCAATGTCTGACCTCCAATGTTACATGCTGCGAGACCCGTCGATGCTGTGACGGCCAGCCTCTCGGGATCTCTCGCCCACTTCTTCTTCAATTCTGTGATGATGGACCTCATCAAAACGGACTTTCCGGTTCCTGCAGGACCTGTGAAGAAGACGCTTTGGCCCTTGTTGATGACAAGACTCTGGACATGTTTCTGTTCTTTGGTCAAAGCAATTGCTGTTGCCTTGGGCTTAGGCATGTTGCTCTGCATGATCTCTCTCCGGATTTCGTCCATGGTCCACTCGCCATCTACGGGCTTCTTGGACTGGATTTTAAGCTGTTTCTTCTGCTCTTTGACAGCACTGGCGGTCATGTTCCATGTCTCCTTCTTTTTCTTAGGAGCAGGCGTGACTCCGCCCGGCGCCCACATGGAAACCTCTGGCTCATCTTCCTCTTCCTTGGCGGCTTCCTCCTCTTCGGCTATCCAGCTCTTTGGAAGTCGCCGTTTCTTCGGCTGCGGGGCTAATAAAGCTTCCATCTGGTCCGGCGACTCCCGCTTAAGGGAATTCTGGAAAGATGCTGTTCGGTTCACGTTTTCCCGAGACAACTTGGGGTGTGCGAAGTGGGAGGCTGGTGATGAGGACCAAGGTAAAGGCTGTGTGGAGGGAACTTCGGCCTTGACCACTGGAGCAGGTGGCTCGGGTGCTTTCTGCTCCTTGACTAGAGGCTTTGGAAGAGGGGGGAGAGCCGAGGGTGCTTCGAAGTCCAGATCGAGCAGGTCGTCATCGCTGAAGTCGTCCTCGGCAAAGTAAACGGCGGGCTTGGAATTTGTCTGGGCCTCCTTCTTGATAGCTGCGTCTGGCTCATCTCGAAAAGAGTCGGAACGAGAGTATAGGGAGGCGAAAGATTGACCGTTGGGTGTGGTAATCGAGTCCAAGGCAGAACGGTTGCTGCTCGCAAAATGCGTTATGCTGGACGTGCGGCCTGGCGGTGGCCTCGTTTGGTTCGTCGTCGTCGCGGAGGTGTTTGTGGTCCTCGCCGATACAGCGGCAGCAGGGGCTGGCTGACTTGCCCTCTTAAATTGATTCATAATACTGCCATTCTGGGGGGCACTCGGGCTGCTCGAAGGGAAGAGCTGCTTGGCCAGGTCGTTGTTCTTCGGCGGGGGAGGCGCGTTGGCCGCATAGGCCTTGTTCGCTCTAGACAGCATCGGTTCTGGATCTAGATATGGAAAGTTGTGAACATTGGCTAGTTGGACGGCTCTGTGAACGGTTCGGCGGAGTATCGGCGAGGATCGAAGGTGGAGGAGGCTGGTTGTTCCAGCCGGCATCCAAGGTGTTGTTGCGTTCACATTTGCTGTGTGGGTGGTTGGCTCGAGGGTGTTTCTTGCCCTTGTCGCACGCAGGCTGCAGAGATGGAAAGTTTCGACCTTGATTGACCAGTTGTGGACGAGGCGCGTCTCCGTCGCGTCGAGGTGACTTTCGCGCTAAGGATGGAGGGGCCAAACTCTTAGATAGCTGAGTCATCAAGATGCTCCCTGTAACAATAGCGGAGCCCCCCTAGAAGCACCTGCATTGCACATGTCCGCCTCAACATAATAATATCAATGGATGCTACCTATCCGTAATATCACATCCAATGTCAATCCATCTGCCTACACATTCAAAATGGCTTCACCTTTCTCCGGGAATGCACATACTACCCAACACTAACCTACAGTGCCAGCTGCCTCAGAATCACACATTACTTCACGGCTCTATCTCTTCATTGCTGCGCCAGGCAGACTCTTCTTTGGCTGCCATCATTGGCTGAGACTCGCCCACGTCCATCCATCACGACTCCTCCCTGCCGCATGCTGCCCCTGCATGCTTCCTGCAATGTCGCCAAGTAAGATGTTTGCAGGAGCTCCCCGCCTCAAGTTGGGCACTTGCGACTTCTGCAGCTGGCTATTCGACGGCTTCGTGGTCGGGTTGGGCACAAACGTCGAGCCACCTAAATAACGAAGCTCTCCCTCTTGTGGGACGTGGTTGCTTAGACAACTCTACACTACTCTCACCTGTTGCATTTCGAGTTCGAAGAAGACTTGATCATCATTCGTGCTTTTCGAATCATCTTCGATTTATACCGAGCTTTATCAAATTGGTCAAGAATACACCCTGCCAAAGACTAATCTCGAACAGAACAGTGAGAGAACGAGCGACTAATCCCGATATCCCGCGAAACCAAAAGCATTTCGTCGTGTACCTCGCCCCATAGGGTCAAACGGATTGTCAAAAGGAGACCGCGCTGGGCGCTCTCTGGTCCTCATATAGTCCCGAGCAGCCTGTTCTTCGTACGTCTCATCGGGACCTCGCTGGAAGACAGGGCCCCGATCAAGGGACGGCCGACGGAACCGCCTTTCCATTGATCGACGGTTTCGCCTTTCAATTTCATTCCTTTCTGCCTCCCGCTCGTCCTCAAGACGTCGCTCGTCTTCCAAGCGCATCTCATCTTCAAATCTCAGACGTCTGATGTTGTCCAGGTCATCCTCATGTCTCATACGAATCACCTCCTGAGGGCCCACGGTGCGGAAGTTGACGTCCCGTTGGATCACCCGAGCGGGTAATATTGTTCGACGACGATTGAAGACGTCAATCAGGGGGCTATCAACGCTGTCGAGCCCGTATGCTTCCGGCCGAGCGGTTATGCGACGCTGCATGAACGGCTCTTCACCCATGAAGTCTCTTACGCCAGGCATTGGCAAGGCCGCCGGAGATATTGGGGCACCAAGCGGCCGACTAATAGGCACCTCTCTTTCAAGGATGTAGTACTGCTCGTGCTTATCTTTCCTGTGGCGGCGTTGAGCCTTGAGCCCATAGTCCTCCGGACGACTGCGATGGCGACGATGGCTGCGGCTGCGGCTACGGCTATGGCTTCGGCTACGACTGCGGCCCCGACTGCGATGATGTCTACGGCCACGTCTGGAGTCAGATGAACCGGTAGTAGATGAATCCGGCGTGAATTCCGTGTCGCTCCACGACTCGTCCGAGGAGTTTGAGTCTCTAGAGCTCCTGGAACCACTCGAGAGAGTATAAGTCTTCGTTTTGCCCTTCTTGTGGTCGGTGTGTACCACCTGGATCCCAGCACGAGCTGGCGGCGGCAGTGCCTTGTGACCTGGAGGTGGCAATGGCTTATGGCCTAGGGGCGGAGGCGGCAGCTGTGGGTGTTGTCGTTGCGGTGGTGGAAGTGCTGGTGGTGGTTGAAGGGCGGCTCGGAACTGCTGCTCACGTTGATGCAGAGCAAGGAGATTTCGATGCTTTTCATCCATCATCTGCTGCTGCAACTGATGACTCCGGGCTTCTTCGTCTCTATGTCGAATCATGGCCTCTTCATTCTTCTTGCTGCGGTACATGGCCAGGGCGTTCTCTTCGAAGCGAGGTTCCTTTCTGAAGTACGCCGTCACGGCTACCGTTTCGAACAAGTTCTTTTTCGATTTCGAGGACGACTTTCCCTTCGCAACCACAAGCTTTTTATCCGCCATGTATTGTGCATACTGGATGGAGTCTTTGTGAATCTTCTTCATCTTGCAACTGATCTGCTGCAGGGTGTAACGAAAGCGCCTGTCGGTGTTGCGCTTCTCCAGGGCGTCCTGCGCCATTTCGATTTGCAGCTGTTGGTTGGGCGTGAGCTCCATCTTTCTCTGCAGGGCTGTTTTGCCCTCGTCGTTGAGGTCGCGGATATCCCGGATGATGTCTTGTCGGGACAGATCTCGAACTTCAACACGCCTCACGTTCTCCCAGGTCGGCCTGGTTGGGTAGCCTTCGACATCGATCTCGTTGGGATCTTGTATCTTTTCGATGCGGTAGACAACGTATTCTGAGAGGGCCTCGCGGGCCCCGGGCTCGGTCATTCGTTCAGTTCGAAGGTCGGAAACCTCGACGAGTTGTCTTTGACGCAGCTCCAGCGGGACCTTCTCTCGTGGCGGTTGTATGGGCAGCTGCTGCACCGGCATCGGCTGAATGACCCGTGGCTGCATCTGGGCTGCCGGCCGAGGAGCAGCCGGCGGTGGTGGATGTCCTCCTATCGGAAGTCGTGCTACAGGAGGAGGCATTGGGCCTCCCATGGGAGGTCGAGCTGCTGGAGGAGGTATCGGCCCTCCCATGGGAGGTCTTGCGGTGGGCGGGGGAGGTCCTGGTTTGGCAGCGAAAGGCCCTGGCCCTCGGCCTGGTGGAGGAGGCGGGGGAGGTGGACCGACATTCGGCGCTCTGGCTCCGGCTGGGTGAGGTGGTGGTGGTGGAGGAGGAGGGCCTCCAGGGCCTCCAAGATGAATAACTCCGGGGGGAAGAGGGGCCATGTTGAATTTGCGGAATGGAAGAGTTTGGAAAAGAGGGGAGCAGTTCAATGTCGGTGAATTGAGGCAGCGGTCAGGGGTGGTTATAAGGACTATTCCACGAGGCGGAAGTGCACAGAGAAGACGGCAACAAAGTGCGAAACGAAGAGTCTCGATCCCGAGAATGAGCAACAAGTTGCAGCCGAGTCCCGAGACGTCGAGGTCAAAGTGAGGCGAACCACTCGGCTGTAGGAGGGCGTATGAGACAAGATGGGAAGGGACAAGAGGGTGTGAAGGTGCGTTGTCTTGTCTTTATCTTTTCCAGGAACTTGAGACCACTGAGCCTAGATTTTGGCTCGACGGTGAAGGCGATGTGACACTTACAGCCACAGTAACACCTATCTAGGCAGCGCAAGGTCGTCAGGTCTAGTCCCTGGCGTAGGAAAACGGAAGCGAGTCGATTCTCCGATAACAGGTTGAAAGACGGACAGAAACGAAACCCAACGGTCAAGAAGGACCGTTCAATCTTTCAAGCACAACGAGGACACTGACCGCCTGGAAAACGTTTCTTCTGTACCATCACACAGCCTATCACTGGCCGTTCCAAGCCACCTCTTCATTTGCCAAAATCTTCCTCGCGAGGCAGCCATTATTATCCCTGTCGGTGAGATGGTAGGCTTCGCCGCTCACCTTGTCTCGGCAGCCTGGCCTCAACACAGCGGCACTTCAGACACCTAGGGCTTATTCGGAACAGCTTTCACTCGCGGCAGTCATCGTATTCGAGAAATCACAGCTTTCAGCAAGGGGCCACATGCCGAGGGCCTACGTGTCCAGGTTCTGAGACAAGGACGTTGTCAACTCCACAAGAATCGCAACCTCTATCATTCAACTCTGGACGGCGGTGCCCATACTAGTGCTGGATCTTTCAAATCTTTCGTTCCAAGGCTTCTTGACTTCTTTCACTTGCGAATGCAACCACATACCCCGCAAACGACTTTCGCCTGGTCCCGCGACAAAGTTGATGGGCGGGAGGGCGCGTCCCGACTCGATCACCTGGTTTGCAAAGGTCCGCCAGAAGGCAACCAAGAAGCAGACATCCATCAAGACGTGCAAAAGACTCACCGAAGCTGCCTGTGCCTCTTTTTTCGGGGTGCGGGGAGTTTACGTATGACTCCGTACATTTGCGCGGGCGAGATGGCGAATTAGCGCACCCTGCACCGCCTCAATCGGGTTTAGATTTTATACACTTTGAGGTACGTCCATCGTCGTCAACTCGACACCCACAGGAACTCATCCCAGAGGCCTCCAATTGGCAGAAGAACGCCATCAACTGACCAAGATAAGAAAAGCGAGATTTCAACTTGCATGCGGAGTAACACGATGGACTGCCTCGCGGGCCAATCAACCACGCACGTCGCGATATTTCCGTCTATTTTATACCTTCACTCGGTCATAGGATGTGAAGTCATTCACCCGGCGATCGTTGTCGGTCAACAATCCAGTAATGCACTACTTGCTGCATTACTGCATCACGCCCGTCATCACCGGAGTGTCAAGCATATCATCGATGTGATTCATCTCGGTTTGCAGTTCGGCACCGCCCTCGGTGCCGCGCAAAGCGAGAGTGAGAAGAGCCGCCGTGGCGCCAGGCTACCTCGCTGCGCAATTCGAGGTCCAGGGTTTGAATCTCAATCAAGACGGACAGTCGGGTCCTCGAATTCGGAAATAAGGATCTCACGCGCTGAGTCGAGCGATCCGTCTTACGGCATGTCTCGTCATATCGATGATCCGCTTTGCTATTCGACTCGTTTATTCCTCTCCACCTATGAAGTCGTCGGTCAATACCAAGCTCGTCGGGAGACGGTTGGCGCTGGAGGATGAGACAAGATTGCCCACCGTCTCAGTCTCTATGCAGAGCCTCACCCTAGAGATCCCTTACTGACGGGAACTTGTTCTTGACGGTTTTCTTGGCTGCCAGCACTATCCATGGAACGTTCGACGATGCATCTGCTATCGACTTTACCCTTTGGAAAGATCGGCATTCCAATACAAGGTTCTCCTTGTCTGTGAAAATCGACATCTTCCATCGCAGGTCAATTTTAGACGCCGATAGAACCTCCGTCGTTCGAGACCGTGGCCTGTAAGGTGTTACACCACATTTATCGTGATGATGCGAGGGACTAAATTGCGCCGTTAGTCAAGGAGCCTGTCTAACAGCCGGCGTACAATGACTCTCTGTTCTAGGTTGACCTGAGGCTCGTCATATTCCACACGGACGATTTCACATCGCACAGCAAACGCCACCATTCTGCGCAGGACTTTCTATCGCCATTATGGCGGACATTGTTTTTTTTTCTTCTCTGCCATGGGATGACCGACGATGTGAAATGCGGTACGCGGTCTCACAAGGAGGCATACCAAGACGCCGGGCTCCTCACCGTATTCTCCGTCGCCTGTTGTTCGACGCCATCTCGACCTAACCATTTCACATGTGCGATGCAAGCGCCCAACGGATTTCCAAGATGTCGCGGAAAATTCTTCCAGTTTCACCCGTTGAAAAACTTTGTTCACGTACCACGGAAGACGGTGGTGAATCGGACGGCTTCGTGACAGCGGGCGGGGGCATCATCGCCGTCATACAAAGAAACGGTCATCATACGACAGACAAGGAGGCGTGGGACCTCGGACGGGATGCATCTTGCGCGTCTTCGCGCATCCTCGCGCATCCGTGATCCTTCCAACTGTACAGAGAAACCCCCATCCGAAGGTTCCGCGTCTGGCTTGCCGTTGAAAAATCATCCCTTGATGAATTGACGAGGCGGTTTCTCCTTCCGCGATACAGTCATGCGCCGCCACCAAAGTCTCCCTGCAGCGAGGCAGTACTTGGCTTTATTTTCACATACCATGCAGCTCGAGCGTCACGACATGCATACTACGACACCCTATCAGGCTACGCCCGGCCAAGGTGCCAGCGTCGTAGATGGCGCAAAACTCTTCTTGCACATTCAAGTCTGAATGAGTTGCCTTTTTCTTTCCCTTCCTACGAAAGCTGGCGGTCCAGCGTTGCCTTGCGGTTGCCTCGTTTCTTGGCTTACACGGCCTCGGGGCTTCTAACCCCTAGGGTTCCGTAAGTTGACGTGGTCTTTTTTTTGCACAATGTACGGTCATTTTCTTCCCCGTTTGAACCGTTGCTCATTCTCCTGCGCGCAACGGCGCGCGGTATCGATGCCCGATGGGGTTTTACCGCTCATTCTCTTCCGGTTGCGCATTTTTCCAGCGTAGGTGGTTTCACTGCATTCGGTGATGGCCGCTTCAGCATCCGACGAGGCGATGTGTTTGATTACGAAGTAAGTTGTTCTGGCCAGGCAACCATCGCAACATTCCATGTTTTTGTTGCTACGCTGTCTTCGAAATCATCGCATTCGTTCGTGCTGTCGACAACTATGGAACCATTCCTCGACGGCTGCTCCCGGCTACGCCATCGACGCCATGTCTTACTCCTCGTCAGCCGACTGGAAGACGACAGTAAGGAAACCTCGCAAGCTGATGCGGATATGAATCGTCGTGAAGAGGTAATACTCAACGAAGACAGGGCGATTGGTTCAGTGGTAGAGCGACCCCTTCGCATGGGGTAGGTCCTAGGTTCGATTCCTAGATTGTCCAATCTTTTGCCCCTATTGTGATCTGTGATGTTTTGGGCGTGGCGAGGCGGTTTTGGTGGTTTCCATCAGCATCTTGGTCCTCTGTTCAGTGCCATGTCCTGTATGTAGCTACGTAATCTTGGGCGAGCGTTCTCGAATGATATTCAACACCACATCGGTCTATCTCTGGCTCTTAAGATACACCCCTTGGTAACATAGTAGCTACATATCAGCTTCCCTGATCACGGGCCGAGACCTTCTTCTTTCCGCAACAACAGTGCCTCAGCCGACATCCAGACAAGCAGTAGACATGCACCTCGACGTTTACGGCCAAAACTTCGTTCTCATGCATTGCAGACAGCAAAGCCTTGATATCTGCCGATGCCGTCAACCTTGCTGAAAGATGCCGTGACACGTACATTCGAGATGGGGATACGGGCTCAGGGGTTGGTCACGACATGAGTGTGAGACGATGTCCATCGTCGGTCATACACTACCTGTCACCATCAGTCATACCGCCCCCCACGATGCTATCCAATGGACCGAGTGAAGCAGCTGCTGTACGCATCCTCGAACTGACGATCAGAGGTCGGTATCGTTCGGATCTTTGCCAGATGTGATTGCGGCTGCATTCGACGGAGGGTCCGACGTCGAACGACTCTTTGGGCGGGTTTGAGTTAGGGCCTGGAACTTTGGTATGTCACTGGGGTTGCACATCGTCTGAGCTAGAAGATGAAACCAGAAGATGGCGGCGATATTGATGTCTGAACTTTTGCTGGTTATCTCGACCGTTGGATCCTAAAGTCATGTAGGGGTTATCAGGATTCGGAGAGTCTACGAAGACGATCAGGTGCGATGTAATGGAAACTATTCTCGGAGGACTGAACGCTTAGCCACAACTATGATTGACCGTCCTAATATACAGTCATAACGTAGCCGCTCGAAGTCGTGAAGTGGTGAAGTGGTTTCAGTCACAGTCTTCACCAGTATGGAGGCAAGTTTCGAAATTCATGAAGCACCATACAACTTCTATCCCAACTCCATTAGAAAATCGATACATACACGTATTCTATCATCGCTAGCCTGCTACCATTCTGAATCTGTCCAAGCTCCCGGTATCTTAAGCGCATGTTTCTCTTTCCTGAGATACCCGGACTTGTACAGTTTCTTCATCTGCCGCCTGTTGAACCTTGTTGCTACCAGGTCTTTGGCATAGTCCAGAGATTGGCATAAGCCTGCCCAATCTTCGTCTTTAAAATTGGAACGAGACCAGTCCATGATCAAACTTTTGAGGTCCCTTGCCATTGAAGACACGAACGGCCAGTCGTCTGAGCGGCGTGGACTCGCAGGGCAGATTTTCCACAGCAAATGCTGGGATGTGTTTCCCACAATACGCTCCGTCACCCACCTGCCATCTGCGCGGACATTGTCTATGGATAAAGAACCCCAATTCCTGAACTCATAGCGTGCCTCATAAGCCGGCTTGTTTGGGTCAACCCCGCGGTACCACATTGGGACTTCAAACCCGCCAATGGTCTTGGAACCCAACACTTGCGGCCACTTCCCTTCCCTGATTTTGTGTAGACGTCCCGAATTTGCCCATACCTCTTCACAGCGCAATCGTTCCCAACTGAGGTAGGCTTCAACATCGATCCCCGCGGCCTGCAATACTGTCAACCAGTGTGATATTACGCCTTCAATCCTTTGATGGCATTCCGATGATAGGAGAATCATGGTCAAAACAGTTTCTCTTATCGAGCCACTGATCTGTGGATCGTCTGTCCAAGAGCATATGTGTCGGGCATCAAAGCCTTCTTTCGCCAATGCAGTGAATATGTTGATCCATCTGTCTAGGGAACGAAAAGATGGAAGCCAACAGTACGAATCCTCGACCGTCCGTACAAACGTACAGGCAGCAGTACTCCATGACGCATCGGGGAACTCTTCTCGCTCGACAACCGCGAGTTCCGTTGCTCGAATCCTACAATAATTTTGAAAAAACAATTCTTCTTCGAGATGAAACGTGAATAGCCACTGCATTCTCTTGGTCGGAGAAGCTCCTGTCCAACGGAGAATGTTGTCAATGTCTATCACGTCCGGGGCAAGGCGATGGAAACCGCTCGTCCTGAAACCGTACCCCTCCGGTCTGGAGATACTTGTCGACACGTCAGTGTTGCCAGTATATCTAAGGTTCATTAAACTTACTCTTCAGTCAGACATTGCCGAACATTCTGGCAGGCCAGGAAATGGCAAAGACGTGGCCGACAGTACTTAATAGCAAACTGAAAGTAACATTAGCAATACTTCATCGGGAGCATAGAGGACCACCAAAGGGTTGAGTACCTCGTAGAGAGTCAGACATCCCATGAAAGTTGTGGGACATATTTCACGACTGCTGAACATCCTTTGGAGGCCTCCCAAGTCTCCAGTGTAGATAATGGTTTGAGTCTTGCGGTATAACTCCTTATCAACATCCTCTCTCAGGATGTGCTGAAAATTCAGAGAGTAAGAGATGGGATTTAGTGTGTCAAATGTCCAGCCAAATTCTACTCTGTAGGAGTAGCCTCGAATGCCGAATGTGTAGGTCCTGGACTCCTTAACGTTCACGAAGTCGTCCATACCATGCCGTTGCATTTTCTTCGTCACTCTTGTGCTTTGCATTCCACCTTGGAAGCCGAGAACTTGCACCGGTTTTGAGTCGCTTCTCTCAATAGCAGTAGTTGTTCCGTTTGCATTCAGTGCCAAGGAGTTCGAAGTTGCTTCGGTGTTGAGTGGCAGCTCGGGTTTCGAAGGCATAACCTGCGTGCTCGCGGGGGTTGAAGTCAGCTGTTCGATTACGCTGAAGCGTGAACTACATCCGCTGTTAGGTCACACATGTGCTAGCTGAGAGATTCAAGTTCATAACATACAAAATCTCGGCGGTCATCATGTGCTGTAGATCGTTCAAGTTTCGGTCCAAAGCGGAACTTAGACGAGCGATCTCATCTTTCTTCTCCAAGAACGAGAATCCGACCGTGTACAAGGTACGTGACTTTGATGCTCTTTTTTCGAGCTTGTCGATGATGTCTTGAATCTCTCCCAGCGTTGATTGAATATCCCGCAGGACGAAAATTCCCCAGGTATGGATGAGCTCGGAGCACCGGCGGTTAGAGGCATCGCCTTCGAAGCACTTCTTGATAGCGCCAGCTACCGCCTCGACCTTCTCGACATTCTGAGCCAGGCGGCCGATTTCCTTGGATGCGGACCGGTAGGTACCGATGACACGCTTCACCTTGATCGCGGAGTCGACGAGCTGCAAGGACAATCCGATGATACCGATTGCGGCCTCCATCGTTACTGGAAATAACGTTCGGCCGTTCAAGTGCAAGAGGCAAGGAGTGATGAATCACAACAAAATGAACAGAGCAGAGCGAGGGCCTGGGTGAGTCCTGGGTTTATCTGACAACCTGAAGGCAGTCTTACGAGCAGGCTGGCGGGGTTGCTGCATGATGCCCTCCAACGAGATGCCGCCGGCTGTGCAGGTGTGGGAGAAGTGCCCCGTGGCCCAATGAGACGCATCAGGAGATATCACTGCCACAATCATGGCTGAATTCTTTGCAGATATCCCATCAGCCAAGGACTATTGCCGCCTCGGGCCTCGTGGGGAATTATTTCGTCGGTCGAGGTCCACATCAGAATTGGTATTAGAGTATAGCTGCTCATTCTGAGGTAGCACTTGGCGATGATCTGTTTCATCCAGAGGTTCTCCTCAGAGTAATATTTTGTGGAGGGATGTTTGATCGTCGGTTCGTCAAAGTTGTTTGACTGAATGTTGGTTTAAGCATTGAGTAAGCATTGAACTTTCATTGACGGGAGGAATGAACGGGGAGCTTTCTCGGAAGCATCGATGCGTGTGAAGTAGTATGCAAGTATTAGATATGTAGATATCCTGTCTAACAATAATGTGTACTAAGAACTTCTAATTATGTAAATCCCAAATGCTTTATGTGCATTCCTTTCACCTTGTCGCCATACTCAACTATTTACTCAAATGTAATATTCCAGCGGCAACTTGAGCCACTTGCACTGCTCCAAATCCTTGAAACCTCTCATCATCGTCTTCTCTACAGGCCAATCGATTGACCTAGTCTTCATATCTCCCTTGACAGAAGGCTCCCAGGGCCCCGTCTTTTCGAGCGCGTTCAATGTGTTGTTGAAACCCCTGGCCCGAAGGAAGTCCTTGTCGGGATTGGGATCATACGTCCTCGCAAACGACGAGAATGTGTCCACGAGATACTGCTCCCATGGCAAGTCGTACTGGTCTCGATATGGCAATCGTTGACGTGCCAGATTGCCGAACAGCGGCAGCAACTCTCCGGAATGACAACGCAGGTTGTTAGTCGCCGACTCTGGATCGCCGTTGGGGAACTTGTTCGACTTGGGTGCGTCGCAGAGGTCGAGACGAGGCCACTCGGGCGTCTGGTACGTCCGCTCAAACTCGTAGTAGTACACCTTCGACCCGAGCACCCCGCTGTCGAGCCCCGCGTATACCGTCGCCTGGTCGACGCAGCGGAACATGGCGTCTGTTGCCATGCGGGCACCGATCCCGAAAGCTTGCCGTGTTTTGTTCGTGGTGGTGTTCAGCGGAGGGAACAAGTTCTTTGGCGGATCTGGCAGGCCTTGTGAGGTCAGCCAGAGGGTGATGTTCGGAACGGTGCCGTTCTGCGGGAAGATGAGAAAGGGCAGGCCGTCCTCTGATGTCGTTCCCATCATCAAGTGGACATCCAACTTGTCCCCATTGAGCTGCAGCTCGTCCGAGGTCAGGTACTTGCCATCGACGACCATGTAGCGAGCTCCACGACCAACTTTCTCGACAGGCAGCTGACGAAGGCAGTCGACCTGCGACCTTGCAGTGGTGCAGTTCGTGCTGTTCAGAATCGTCTTTCCAACTACGTCCATCGACTCATCAATCGTGTAGTACTTGGCGTACGACGTCCCGTACGTCAGACCGCCGAGGCTGCTCATGGGAATTGCCCCAGCGAACTTTCCCTTTGCCTTCGGAGACGCCAGCAAAGCGCGGACGGAAGCACCGCCGGCAGACTGGCCAAAGATCGTGATTCGAGCAGGATCGCCGCCAAAGTCCCGGATGTGTTCCTGTACCCAGTCCAGAGCCGTGATCTGGTCCGCGAGACCGTAGTTCCCATTCGTCACATCATCATCCAGAGCCAGGTATCCCAGGGTGCCCAATCGGTAGTTGATGGTGACAACCACAACATCACCGCGCGAGGCCATGTTCCCTCCGTCAAATAGGGGATCGCTACCGAAGCCGCTCGTGAGAGCCCCTCCATGGATCCAGAACATAACCGGCCGAAGCCTCTTGTCAGTCTGTCTGGATCGAGGCAGATATGGCGTATAGATGTTCAGGAAGTGGCAGTCTTCGCTACCGCCGAACCCCTGATAACACGGCGACCCAAAATCGAGGGCCGAGACATTCCTGCCGTTCGAGCCCTTGTACAGCTTGGGGTACGTGAAACGTTGCGTCTTGGACGCGAATCTCAAGCCATGGAAGCGAAAGCTGTTCCTGTCGCGGAACCCCAGAGTATCGTCGGTGTTGGAGTTCACCATGACCTGCCATCGCGGACTGGTATCCTGCGCCACACCATTGGAGAACGGTGCCGAGTGTGTGCACAAAGCCGGAAGCTTTTCCGAGGGGTTGGGAGAAGACGCATTGCCCTTGGAGCTGATCGCTCTGGGGCTGCTGCTGTTTTTCGCTGTTGCGATCCAGATCGCGGACACATTCTTCTCCTGATAGTCGAGAATGGCGAGCAGTCTTTCCGTGCTGTTTGTGTCAGGAGACCATAGCAACTCCCCGAGGTCTCTACACGTTGCATTTGCCTCGTCAAAAGTAAGGGTCTCGCCCAGGAAGAGAGCGCTGAAGTTTGCCGACGGGCTTGAAGTATCTGAACATCATTCCAGTTAATATCTCACAAATCTCAATGGAGATGTCTTTCCGTGAACCTACCTCGAAGATCATTATCTCGAAGGATCGTAATGTCGGTTTTCAGCCCTGAAGGCGACGGTGCGCACGAAGCCGCTGCAGCTAGCAAAGCGACCAGAGCGGCTCTCGCCTGCATGACGTCTTACACCGAAACCAAGATGACAACTCACCGAAAGAGCACGCGAAACTCCTATGTACAACCATGGAGAAAAACACACACGACATTCGATATTCTCTTGCAAAAAGAAGGGAAGGTGTAGTTGTTCTCTTTAAGAATCAGTCTGATCAACAGACTCGAGTCGTGCTCCATCTCTTCCCAACAAGCATGCTTACCCGCCCAACTCTGCCAAACCGGACTGCCCATTGCGCCGAAGATGCGTGAGAAAGGGCCAGATGCAGACCAAGGAACAAGGAACCAGAAGGCGAATCCCTCAAAAGGAAAAGGTCGGCACGGTCCGGTTGGGTGTCCTTGTCTAGCCACTTAGACTATGCAGCGCCGCCTGTGGTGAAGCTATCCTGTGCCTGTCCAGGCACACACGAAGTTTGGGGTCGAGCGAGGAGCTTTCCCTGCCAACGAAAACCCGACTACGCAATTGCTTCCATGCCGGGAAGGACGCAGAGAAGGAGCCAAAAGATGGTGTGGGCGGTCAACAGGGAAGCATGGTGGACTCTCGAGTTTTAGACTGTATGCATGAGATCGCCCGGAGGCCCGATGCTTGGTCCGAGAACTGTTCAAGTTTCAAACCTTAGTTTCTTATCTTCAGCGCGACAATATCGAACCAGATTTGTGGATCAACTACTTTGTTTCTGCGTTTGTGGTTTTCCTCCGAGGTCGAAGTTCGTTACGCCGAGGCGAAGGGCGAACCGCCTTCACTTGCCTTCGGAAGACTTTCTGTCTTGAAAGTTGTTGCAGCCCTCCCACATCCGCCGGTGATGGGGATGTGACGTTGGACACCACACACTTCGGGTGACAGGCGCGTGCCGATTGCCCGACGGGATTCATCTCAGAATTACGGTGATCGGAGCCGCCGGCGGACGGATTCCCTTCTGCAGGACCCCTTTCTTTCCGCCCACTCGGATCGGTGCGGAGCGCATGCTGTAACAGACGTCTAAACGCGCGAGACTGAGCGAACGAGCGAGGAGCAGAGTCAAGAACTCGGTGGTAAACGAGGTGAGCCACGGTGAGATGAACGACACAGAACATGGTTCAATCAACCGCGATCGATGTTCCAGGCCAATATGATCGTTCCATATTTTACGGTTTGCAGCATTGGCCAGAGCCAAGAACCTCACGAAACGGGATCATTGTTACTTTCCTCGCATCTGATGCTCGCTTACATGGGTCTCTTCTCGAGTTTGTCCATGCAGACGAAACTTTGGTCCCAGCAGGATGGCTTACCTCATTCGAAGTGAGCTTACTTCATGCTTTACTGTCTCAAGGAAGACTGTGTGGAGGATTGAGGCTCAGCATTGGTGGGACAGCTTTCAGTGTATCACATCGACGACATGTCAAGGCAAGACAGCTTGTGTGTCGGATGAACCACAATGTCAAATTCCACATTTGTAACTAAATGTGAGGCTTAGTAGAAGTCTGCAACTCCAAGCGACGCATCTCTCCGACTCTTCCGTACGGCGATGAAGCTGAACGAATTTCAGAAAACCAGGTTTCCTATTGATCCATTATGGATCACCAGGATGCCACAAGAACCTCCTTGACCTCTGTGTTCAGCAGCATGTTCATCCCCTTACTTGGGGTTAGGAGGATCCTCGCCGGTGCAGCAGTTGAAGTGCTCCATTGAACCAATCCAGTAGTGGAGGGGCCATTTCTTGCAATCCATCGTGCCCTGCGCCTCCAAACCGTCACCGCCCCGACACTCAGAAGTGCCGGCGGAGAGGACATTGGTGATGTCGCTGTTGCCAAGGTATGTCCGTTCGAATTCTGTGGCAGACTGGGGATTGCCGACAGCGAAGACGCAGCTGCCGCTGGTCATGAGGTTGAGCCAATGGTGACCCTGCCAGAGATAGTTAGTTCTTCCCGATACTGATATTGATACAAGAGGTGGGCTTGAGAACATACCGCGAAGTCTCTCCCCTCAAACACCCAGCGGCCATAGTGTCCATTCCAGAAGCGGGCGAGGTTCCCGCAGTCATCCATATTGGCGCCCTTGCCGCGTTTCATGCAGGTCGGACTGGAGTAATGCATGCAGATGAGAGTGGGCTTGGCTCCCTTCTCGAAAAGGCTTCTCGCAATGAGTGGGGAGCCGTCAGCGGGAGGAGAGTCGGACGTTTGCGTGAGAGAGGCAGTGTCGACCTCATCGTCATCGATGTCTAGTCTGGCGACGGCTGTGTTGACATAGACGGCGTGACAGGTTCCATCATCAAGCTTCATCGAATAGCAGACGGAGTTTTCGAGGTTAGTCTTGCCGTCATTGCAGATGGAGGAACAATCATCGCCTGCAGACTGACCGGGGACAAGAGGCCCAGCAGATACGGCGGCTATGATCATCGCCGCAACAGCGATGAGACGATCCATATAGACCATCTTGTTCTATGTGATACAGAATATACGTTTTGGAGGCAAAGAGGTGAGAGATTGTCTATTTGAAGACGATAGCGTGCTTTGGGCGAAGGTTGTGTGAGGCGGATGAGGTTGAGCCTGAGACTGACCAGAAGACAGACATGTGGCCTTCTGGCAAGATGGGAGCTTATGGTACTTATTTCTTTATTTATTCTTTGGAAGGAGTTGTAGGAAGCTGTCGGCACGAAACTGAGGAAGGTACGAGGACTTTCAACAAAGAGAGGTCGCCCTTGCCTTACTTGTGCTACCGAACACATCTTGCAGAAATACGAATCATCAGGCCAGTAGGTCATTTTAAGCTGTGAGCGGTGATTATGAGCAGGTTTATGTGTAACGTGCGACGGTTCTCTTCTCTTCTGGCTGTTGGTGATGATTACCGAGCTATGTTTGACGAAAAACAATCCATGAGAGTGTGCCTTGCTGTCTCGCATTTGTATAGCACATATGTTCCTGAGCTAAACAAATCTAGACTGAGCACTCCCTGAATAATGAGCCACATCCAAGTTGCAAGAGTAGTATTCCTTATGAAGTAATCCGTGAACATCATATCTAGTGGTACACAACCTTGAGATAGTTGGCGATATACCAGAAGAACTCCACATTATTCTTTCTCTTCCGCCAAGTGTGACCGACAGAACCAATAAGATGGACACAATCGGTGTTTCTCAATATTTTTACCGGGCCTAGAGGCATTGAAATTGTCAGCAATCAAGTCTTTCATTATATCTCGGGGCCAAAGCTGGTCAACGACTATGACCGAACTTGACAGTGTATATTACATGCAAGTGGTCTTACCTCACAAAGTAAGCTTTACTAGAAATACCCAAGTCCACAAGCTCAAGCCAAGTCCTGGTGCAGCCGTTGATGAAGATGGAAACCATCTCGCTACTGAGTAGCAAACGAGAGGCAAGCAGCTTCCCCGAAGGGTTTCTAGCCTCCATAGCAAACTCCGAAAGCTGCCAAGGTTGGTGATCTCGGAAGTAGCATGTAGTGTAACACTCATCAGCCTAAATCAATGAGTTTCGACATATTGAGTGCTAAAAAAAACCTAGCGTTAGTGTCACATAGGTAGTTAGACATGGATTTCGCAAGCTCACTGTGAGAACAATTCTCATCTTGCCCATCCTTCTCAACTCAAACTTGAGTCTCACTCACAACATACCTCAGGCTTCCACGGCAAGGTTTACAACTCCCCCGGATGAGTACTCAGGGTGAGGCTCACTCGCCAGGCACCAGCCCAAACTTCACCCCACGTCCACCTCTACGAACACACTCGCCTCCCTCCCTACCTTCATAGTCGCCAACGCGTCCGCTCCTGTCGGGTTCCTGGGCCCGTAACGACCAGAGACGGCTTAGCCAAGCGGTAGAACAAAATACGGTTAGAAATCGCTGCTTAAGCATGCGTTTCATAGGTTCGAATCTTAGTTCGGGCTGAACTTTTGGTCTTCTTTTTGTTGTTTCTTTTACTCGCTGCTCTTCTTTTGAATGCAAGTAAATATTTCCATTATATATAGATACATTTTGTTGCTTGCCTGTTTGCCTCTCTATTCTTTTTCCTGCCGCGGGTAGAAGTTTGTCTGTATCAACTGCCCGCGAGGTACCACAGGACGGGGGGTAGGGAGAATGCAGATGGGGGGAGGGCACCAGCTTGAAGTCGCGTGTGCCAACTATGTTTGGTCGCAGATCGAGTAGGATTTCGATGTGCCTCGAGAGACATCTGTAGCCGCTTCCTCTTCTCTCAGCACTGCTTATTCGAAATCACACCGGCTCACGTTGATGATTCAAGGACAAACTTGTATGGACGCGACGTGAGATATAGGAATATGTAAGGATGAGGTATCAGTCTGATTCATCTTCGCTCATTAAATGATATCTACCTATCTCAAAGTGCCTGACCATCTACAGTCTGGACGGAGCAAAACAGCACAGGGTGATCTTTCGCAAACTACGCCTCCCCATTGCGCTCTAAACAAGAAAGTCTGTCTGAGTTCCTATTCGTAAATGAATTTTCTTTCACCGCGGCGTATTAGGCAGCGGCCTGGGTCCGACAATCTGTCTTCGGCCAGCTCCGATACCCTGGCTACCCTTGTTCTGGCTGTCGCCGCCAGTGTACCCAGCCCACTGGCTCACGTCCCAGCGACCGCCGATACCGCCACCGATGCCGTCGACGCCGTTGCCCGTGGGCACGGCCTTGGCGGTCTCCTCCTGGGCCTCCTCCCACTCGCGCTGGCGCTGGCGCTCCATCTCCATCTCGCGCTCGAGGAGCGACTTGGACGCCCAGCCGCCGGCCTTGGTCTTATTCTGGCTCTGGGCGCGCCGGCGGTCCTCGCCGTCTTGCTCCGCCGTTGCACCGAGCTCGCGGGAGTAGGTCTGCCTGGTGGCCGGCTGAGCGGGTGCCGCGTTGTTAGCGAGGAATCTGTCGGTCCGGCTTGGCGGGGGCTGGGCAGCCGCCTTGTATGCGGCGGGGTCCGGAAGCGGTCGTCCGCCCGTAGTGTGGGTCACGACCTTTTGCGGCGGCGGGGAAGCGACGGCCCTCGGGTCCGGCAGGGGTCTCGGGGATCTCGGGGGTGGGGCCGGCGGCTCGTCCTCTTGCGCGTCTTGGTGTTGGGCCCACGCGGTCTGAAGTACCTCACGCTCACCCTTGGACCAGGAATCCTGGCGGCTGGGTGTTCCGTCGGACGGCCGGCTCTTAGACCTCAGCCGAGCCTTGGGATCGTTGGTGATGGTCAACGTTCGGCCCGTTCGTTCCTGGCGTTCGCGCTCGTACTGTCTTTCTCGTTCTCTGGCCTTCTCAAGCTCTGCCTCCAGCTCGGCGATTCGGTCGGCTCCGGTCTTTTGCGGCTGGACCTTCTGCTCCGCCTGGTACTGACTGAGGAATTGTCCACGAAGGCGGGCGTCACTGCGACTTCTAGTGCGGCTCCGCTCATCGACAAGACGCGCCTCGGCCTCCTGCTCCTCCTTGCGCCGCTTCTCCTCCGTGAGCTTCCACATACGCTCTTCTTCCTCCCACTGCCTTCTCTCCTCATCTACACGGCGCTTTTCTTCGTCTGCGCGGCGTTGCTTCTCTTCCACGAGACGTTGAATATGTCTTTCCTCCTCTTCGCGGGCTTCACGCTCTTCTGCTTCCAGCTTTTGGCGTCTGAGGTCCTCCATCTGTTGACGTTGAAGCTCTTCTTCGGCCTCCTTTTCCTTCCGTCTCTTCTCCTTCTCGGCCAGGCTTGGGACGTTGGGTCCCGCACTAGTGATCTGTCTCCGACTGCCAAACGAGATACCGAGATTGCCCTGACTGGCACCGCCCATGTAGCCGTACTGGGCAATGTTCCACGCCGGAGAAGTGGCTCCCTCGTGCTCCTTCTTGCTCCAGCTAGTAGTCGGAGAGGTAGGCTTCGTCGGACTCCACCTGCCGGAGCCCGAATCGCCAGTCTTGGCACTGGCGAGGTTAGGCCGAGGCGAGCCGAAGCCACCAGAAGTATTGGAGAATCCGCGAGATCGTGTCGGCGAAGGAGTGCCGCGGCCGGTGCCCTGAGGACTCATGACACCCCGGGTCTTGCCACCGATCGGGCTCGGGAATTTGGCCGGGTTCGCGGCGTGGGCGGCGCGACTGAAGGCGCCGAGGCACTGCAGCACTTGGGCGGGGTCCTTTTGTTCGTATAAGTCGACGGTGAGGAAGACGTCGTGTTCTTGGAGGTTCAAGGGCGGCTGCTTGCAGGCGCGCAGGAAGTGCGAGATGTTCTCCATCTGGACAAACGGCATGGCCGACTTCTTGAACTTGACGCCGGGTGGTGGCACCGCCAGGTTGATAAGTCTGGAGGCATCGCACGTTAGTACACCGAGCCGGTGGGATGAGGAACTCGCTTTCACCTACTTGCAGAGCGCAACTCCATCTTTGAGGCTCTCGAGCAGGTCTCCAGCGGGAAGCCTCTCGCCGAGGACGCTCTCGATCCACGTGCTAACCTCCTTCGCGGCGGCAGGCGTGTACCTCTCGAGGCGCAACTTGCGCAGGTCCTTGTCTAACGACGTTACCGAAGCCATCTTGAAGTTGTGGTGATCGCAATCGAAAGAAGAGAATCTTCGTGAAACGGAAATCGGTTGTGGTGATTGCGCTTTAAGCGCTTCGTTTGCAGTCGGAGTGTTCGTGGGTGCGTTTCAGTGACGCGGCGGTTAGGCGCTGACGTCGGCGGGGTCCGGCGATGACGGAACGGTGTACCTAAGATACTCGGAATCTCTGCTTTGCGTTGCTCACTCAGCCCTGCGCGCGGGCGCGGGAAAAAAGGGCACTGCCTCGGTTGTTTTATAGACGCAGCTTCCTGCAGATGCAGTCTTCGGGGTAAGTAAAACGAAAAGAGGACCAGAGAGGCGATCCAAATGTTTTGCGGAGAGAGAGTGAGAGAAAGAGAGGAGAGAACAATTGATATGTCGGGTGGCAGGGGACGAAGAAGCACTTGTGCCTTGTTGGTGGGGAATATTTGATTGTTTATGCATCTCTTCAAGCCCAGCGGGAAGCCTGGATAAAGGTTGACAGCGCCCGGGGCCCGGCCTGCCCGCCGCGGGCCTTGCGGACACTGGAGTGACGTGTGCGGTGGTGGCTGGTGGGGTTCGATGCAACTCTGGAAGGTGCATTGGGCAACTGTGCTGCAGAAACATAAAAAGGCGTGGCTGAGGATAAGGATGCCCAATCACGATCCAGCCAATGATGCCTCGGCCGAAACAGAGCTTTGTGGCGGTGCAAATTATTCAAGCTTGACCTCATTACTTTTCGCGAGAAACCTAGCAACTTTGAGATCTTGATGCCATGGGTTTCTGAGCGAAAACCAACATTCTCAGTTCTCCCCAACCTCACACAATAACGCAACAAAATGTCCTCGACGAGGATATCGCCAATTCTGGAGGCATGGTACAAGTGGAAGTCGCTCAGACTACCATGGCGTAAACGCTTTCTAGTCGGTCCGTTCACCCCTCCCTCCACCTCCAAGCTTCTCGTATATAAGAGAGAGCTTCCTTGGAAACCCTCGCAGACTAACATCGCTCGGTTCCAGGCCGTGACCTGCAGGGTTACACATACTGGGAGTTCCGCGAGCACCGCGGCGACGGACCCGGTCGCTTCCGCCGAATCGTCCACTACCCCCGTTCGACATACCTCTCCGACGTGAAGGTGTCGCCGTTATGGCACCAGTGGCTGCGACACACCCGCGAGCACCCGCCGTCGCTCGAGGAACAGTCCACCGAGGTCGTCAGACAGCAGCGGATGAAGATGCTGGCCGCCCAGGCGGACGCGCGTTGGGAGGCGAAGCCGAGGGTGATGGACGCGCCGGGGCAGCCGATGGGACAGCCCCTACCGGCGTTGAACACGGCGCAGACGCAGCCGATAGCACCGGAGCTAGAGACGACGAACGCGGAGACGACCGCTGAGGCGACGGCAACACCATCGCCTGAACCGACACTGAAACCTAGCTCGACGAAGAAGAAGTATGGTCACGATCCATGGGAGCAGGCGAAGGGGCCCGGCGAAAGCTGGCAGCCCCAAGCGTGGGTACCGCCGCCGGCGGCCAAGAAGTAGAATGGTATAAAGCGAAACGATGACGATGCATCTGTGTATTTCTAGAAGACGGACCCCAATCTCCGCACCCTGTATCAATAATTCGATGTGGAACCGTTCCGCAACCAAATGACCCCCCGGTATCTGGCCATTTTTCAGGTCAGCCGTATTGCGATGAAATTCGGGATGGCCTTGTCGTCAGAAATGCTCCCCCGCTCCAATCTCAGAGAACGCCGAAACTCCAACCCAACGCCAACCGATGATGCCCCCAGCCCAGGCGCCTCGCCGCATCACTCAGAAGCCACCACGGGAGCGTGGGTGACTAGTCGACCTCTTCTTTCTTGGCATCTCTCTCCACGGCGTTCCTCAACCGCTCCTCCTGTCTCCTCCAATGGCTGCCCTCCTCGTAGTCCTTGCTTATCCTCAACGCGCTCCTCAGCCTCTCGCTCTCCTTCATCTTGGCGTCCGCCATCTCGTGCACCTGGTGACTCTTGAAGTGCTTCCGCACCGGTCCGCCGCCGCCGCGGGAGTTCTTCTTGCTCTCGAGCTCGGCGAGCAGCTTCTGTCGCAGCTCGTCGCATCGCTTCTCGACCTCTTCTTCCTCGAGACTATAAGTCACGCATCTCGTCAGCTATCTGCCGCCAAGACTGGGTAAAGGATGATGCAAAGATAAGCTTACCCTTCGTCCTCGAGGGTGTCGCGCAGGTCGAGCACCTTGACCTCGATCTCGCGCTTGCGGTCGTGCTCGAGAATCTCCTTATCGGGGACCCGCGGCTTGTGACGCAGCGAGTCGGCGTCTTTCGGAGGGTACGGCGCGCCGTAGTCGCGCGGCCGCATCTGCGCGAGGTTTCGCTGCACGTAGCCCGAGGTGCCGCTGCCGCGCGGCGTCGAGAGGCCGACGTTGTCAGACATTGTCGTCGTCGTTTGAATTGGTTGGTGATTGTTACGAATAGAGGATCTCGCGGAGGAAACTGCGCTGTGGAGGTTTTCCTCTTCGTCTGTCGATCGGCGGTGTCGGAGAAGATCAAGGTTGGGTGGGATGGGATGATCAGGGAGTACGGAGTACTCGCGTTGGAGCTTGGGGGGCTGACGGCAGAGACGTCACTGCAACCTGTTGGACCCTTGGCAAAAGTTCAGTCGGCCAGAAGGCGGTGAGTGTGATTCGTCCAAATGACGACTGACGTATCGGCGGCAGAAAAAAAGGATGCGGGTGGGATGGTGGGGTACTTTCTGCATTGGGCGATTGAAAGACTCACTAACCGCGAAGACTCATCGATGTAAGTGAAAAAAGTCCAAGGACGAGATGAGTGAGTGATTTCTAATCAAACACATAAGAAACATACGGATTTTTCGATTGAGATATATATCGACTATTCTCATCAGAAATCTCGGCATATCCCCGTCTCGCAAACAAACTCAACCCCTCAAAATGCCGTCCCTCGAAGGCCTCACTGAGGGGCAACCGACCCTGGACGCCATCGCCGCCGCGACCCAGGAACCCGAGGAACTCACCTTCCCCCCGGTGACCAAGGATCACATCCTCAACTGCTCCTACGACAGCTGGTTCCCCAAGTACCGCACCGTCTCGATTCGCTCCCGCATCATCAAGCTGTCCCCGGACTTCGTCCAGTACATCCGCGACGACGGCATCATCCTCGCCGACGACGACGACACTCAGACGGATGCCCAGGACGAGGACGACTGGGCGCCCTCCTCCAACACCTCGGGCGCGCCCCGGCGGAACCAGCCGGACCCGGACTCGGAGGACTCGGACTCGGACGCCGACGACGCGGACTCGCGCCCGCCGAACCAGCGCTTCCCGGAGATCCACAAGGAGATCAAGGACCGCATCGCCGAGCTCGGCGGCGCCGTCGCCCCGAAGCTCAACTGGTCCGCCCCCAAGGATGCCGCCTGGATCTCGCCGCACCAGAACACGCTCAAGTGCACGACGCCCAACGACGTCTACCTCCTCCTCAAGAGCTCGAGCTTCGTGAGCCACGACCTCGAGCACGCCTTCGACGACACCGTCGCCTCGTCCTCGAACCGGCCCTTCCAGCCCGTGCTGGTGCTCCGCCCCTTCTTCGCGCCCAACCCGGCCCTCGAGTTCCGGTGTTTCGTCAAGCACCGCGCGCTCCTGGGAATCTGCCAGCGCGACTGGAACCACTACCCCTTCCTCTCCGACCTGCGCCCGGCACTGGTGTCGCGGATCTCCGACTTCTTCGAGGACAGGCTGCGCTTCACGTTCCCGGACGGGTGCTTCGCGTTTGACGTGTACGTGCCGGGGGACAGCGACTCGCGGGACGAGCTGGGCAAGGTGCGGCTGATCGACGTGAACCCGTGGGCGCCGCGGACGGACAGCCTGCTCTTCTCGTGGGGGGAGCTGCTGGAGTTCGAGGTGCCGAAGCCGATGCTGGGGTCTGTTGTGAACGAGGAGGAGCAGGTGGAGGGCAGCGGGGCGGAGGAGACGACGGACGACGAGGATGCGGATGAGCTCGTTCCCGAGTTGAGGCTCGTGGAGAAGGATAACCCGGCGGCGTTCAACTTCAGCACGCCGCAGTACTCTGCGCACAAGCTCCCCAAGGAGGTCGTGGACGCGAGCTTGGCGGGCGAGGGTGGGTTGAGGGAGTTTGCGCAGCGGTGGAAGGAGATGACGGAGGCGGAGGGCGGTGGTGACGTTTGGGAGAACGCACCGTAGGGTGGGGGATGACGAGGAAGAGGAGGAGGCTGTAGATCAGGTACATATAGGGTGAACCGCACTGATGATCATAATGTTGGACGATTTCTGGCAGCCATATGCGGCCTGTTATTTGTGATGCCAATGCCGGTATCATACGTGATAACTGGCCACGAGAATATGTGTGCTTACACCTCTCACCCTTCTGGGCATATATCATACACATGCCTCACAATCAACAGCTAAGACTTATCAAGAAGTGCAAAGATATCCAGAAATCGTATTCGAATGTATACAAAATAAGGACATATATAAAACAGGCATAAAGGCGGCACCCTCGCTGTCCATATCCGAGGGCCCTTATGACGCAGTCCAATGACGTCTTGCCAGGGTATATCATCTCATCAGATACAAGACATTACCATTTTCGCATCCAAAAAGTGCGGCTGACTGCGGCAGTCGACGCCGGAGAAAAGAAGAGCATACCACCGCGGTTGATCGGGTGGGAACCAACCACATCCGCAAACAAAGAAGGCCTCCCCGAGTAAATGCTTTACATGACGACACAGCAAGCCTTCTCCAGCTTCTTGAGGATCTTGACGACGATGTCGTCGTCCTGCCCCTGTTGCTGCTGACCGCCGTGGTGCTGCTGTTGACCACCATGGTGCTGTTGCTGACCGCCGTGATGCTGCTGCGGTTGCCCACCATGGTGTCCACCGCCCTGCTGAGGCGGCGGCGGCATCGTCGCGTCGCCGCCCTGGAGGTTGATGTAGATCCTGCCGGCGTTATCCTCGGTGGAGAAGTTGAGGCCCATCTCGCGACAAATCGCCTCGATGCGCGGCTTCAGCTTCTGCACGTGGCCCGTAGAGTGGTTGCCCTTGCCGACGATGGCGTGCAGGTGGTCCTGGCCGCGGGCGCGGTCGGCGCGGATGCGCTCCTCGAGGATGCGCTCCGCCTCCTCGACGAACTGGCCGTGGAGGTCGACGCAGCTGCCCGTGACGCGGCCGGCGGCGTTGTTCTCGCGGAAGATGTACTCGGACGCCTGGCGGTTGTAGTCCTCCATCTTCTGGGCATGGCGCTTGCCCTCGTTCGAGAGCTCCTTGGCGGCTGCACCATCGCCGGACTGGTAGGCCTGCTGGGACTGTATACCGACATGTGAGCTTTAGAGAACCTTGGAGATCGCGAGCGGGCTTGGGGGAGAACGGACGCGCTCGAAGCAGTTGTTACGCTTGTTGGCTTCCTCGCGGGCTAGGTCGCGAAGGCGATCGTACTCGCGCTCCACGTCGTCATCGTCGTTGTCGGCGTGATTAAACGCTGTAAGGGTGCATTCCTGTCAGCTCGTGTTGTTTGAAGTTGCCCTAAGATGGTGATTTGTTTCTCATGCTTCCCGTGGCGGTCAAGGCTCCAGCCACAGCTTCAGGGGTAGTAGGTAGGTAAACACAAAACAGACGGGGCTTCTCACCGCGACCGCCAAGGCGGTTCATAGGAATAGACATTGTTTTTTCCCGTGCGGACAGTCGACAAAGATTTGCCTATGTATGTAAGACAAAAATCTGACGTCAAACTCAAGAAGAGTTGATGCACTCGGCAGTGGGAGAGGGCCAAGTCCAGTCGGGCGCGACTGACGTGGTTGGCACAACGGCGCTAAACAAGCTTGTTTTTTCGGCTTCGGCCGCGTAATTGTGGAGACGTGCTCCGGCATTGCCCAGGTGGAGGCTCCTTCACTGGCCGGCCCGGCTCCCGCTCCGGGTCCGCCAGCCTGACGATAGCATAGCGCAGATAAGTCCCGCGGCGGATCCGTTGCTGCCCTCGACCCGGGTTGTTGTTGCAGGCAGAGTGTCTCTCGAGCGTGAATCCGGGGATGGGCACCCATTGTGCTGACAGTGTGATCTTCAGGGGAAGAGCCGTGCGCGTCCACCAAGACAGCACTCAGTGGCCGAAGACCACGAGCCACGATTTGTACAGTGCACCAGCTGGTGCAATATTTGAGAAATTCTATTGCCTTTTGTTGCGTGTATGTATTTCTCACATCTGTGTCGGTGCAAATTGGCCTGAAACGAGCCAGACCCAGCGCCTGGTCTGGACGACTATCGTGGCTGATGCTAATACGTCGTTTCACAGCTCTCCGGGACAATGATGTTCTAGGTCCGTCCGAAACAACACTCGAACAGCCGGGAAGGGCATGAATACCCGCAATAGCGAAGGCTGGAGTTTTGCGTACAGTATCATGGATTCTTCATACCGAAAACAGGTCCCTGTGTGATGTGCCAGACGGTCGTTACACAAGCGACAAGCTCAGGGATGGAAAGCTTCTGTGGGTCTTCTAGAACATCTCCTTTTTGGAATTCTCCAACATTGAACTTTCCCGTCGTGCGCAATTATCGTCCGAACCAGCCGATCAAGTGCTGATTCCAGATGAAATGATGATGAGCGTGCGGGAAAGTAAAAAAAAGCTCCCATGAGATCTGAAAAGCAACAGCAGATGATCGTAAGAGAAACCTCAGTAGTGCCGTAGCGCACCTGCAGCGCGGCATCTGCAAAAATGCCTGTTCCTGAATCCTACGGCTTGTGTTACGTTGGTTGGACGCATCTTCTCGCTTGTGCCTGGCGCGATATGCACGAGAGGACGCGCAGAATTCTCCATCTGTCAGATTCAAAGGGATGAATGCCGCGGCCGCCATTTGTCCGCCCGCAAGCAACTAGGGCGGAGGCAACGAGACGACGACGACAACGACGACGACGACCAAAACGGATGAGGATTTCGGCTTCGGAAACGAAGAGAGACCCCACAATTCCGGGCCCTCTTCAATTAAAAGGAGCCTTCTCGTGATCCCGCGTGGAACGATTTTGCGACTCCACAGTTTTGCCTCTTCAGGCATTCGATGCCAATGAGTTCCTTGCTTTCTGCCAGTTTTCGGACTGGGTCCGCGTCGCATCGTGAAAAGGAGCTCGCATGCCATGTGGCCTCCCTGTACCTACGCGGGAATAGTTTCTCGTAGTAGTCTCCGGCCGGCTGCCCGCAAAGATCTAGTGACTGAGCGAAATTACCTTATTTCGGATGCGAAATATGCCCGCCGTCTGCCGATTTCTTCTTTCGACTTTCGACTGAGCTGAGGGCGCTCTTGTTGTACGTTTGGTGCAACGGTCACAGATCTCATGATGGCTATGTTGAATAATCGGTTTGCCTCGATGTACCTTGTTCTTGTCCTGGTATCCCGGATTGATTCATAGGTCTGAGACAGCGGATAGCTATTCAGTGGTAGCTGGATTGCGCAGGTGACGGATGACAAGTACCAGGATTGTCCATCACATAATAATCCCTAGAATCCACAACTCTTCAAGTGAACTTGGAAGAGCGGCAGTTCATAGTCTACTTCCTAGGGGCTCACCGCATGTGTTCTCGGCAGCCCCATGGCAACCCCGAGGTTTTCGTCCAAATTTTGGCGCTGATCGACGGAGCCAAACAGGTTCGGGAAAAAACACACTTGCAGAGTACCGGGAGTCATACGGAGCCCCGACTTCACGGTACGATCAGCGTCCCAAGGGGACATTATCCCCCTTTCTTCTGCAGAACATCGGACTGCAGACCAAATTCGTAACTTTCGTGTGGGCTAGACGGTAAAGAACTCCAAAGGTCGCTCGCTCGCTGACAGGCGTTAGTGATTTCGCCCTTGCATCCAACTCGCGCCGGCTAAAAGGACTTGTTGTTTCATGGCAGCTCAAGTGGTGGGTCCGACCATGAAACTCCCGTCTTCAGATGCTGATTGATTGGCGACGAAATAAGAAATCTCTATTCGGAGTGTTGAGGTACCCGTTGACGTGCAATACCCATACAGATGGCAGGATTGAGCAGTAGAACGCCCAGCGCCCGGCGGCTGTCCGGGGAGCCCGCAAACCTGGGCGCCGTTTTTGGACGTTTGTCTGCAGGTTTGTTGCAAAAAGTGACAGCTCTTGCATAGTGATCCAGAGGATCGGGGCGTCCTATCCTGGATGCTTCCCACTTGGACCGATCTGGTTACGAGATATCGACGAGCGCCCTAAAATGCGGCTAAGGCGGTGGTTACTTCTTGATACCTGGGCTTGTGGCGTATTTATTGGCTGGCTGCAATGTTTGTCCAGCACCAGCAGCTCCCCAGATGCAAGCCATAGTGGCGCTCTGGCGACCAATTACCTGAGCCAATCCGAGTCAGGATGAGCGATGTCTCTCTTTGAGGGCTTCACAACTTGTCTATTGCCGAGGGGCCCAGTCGGTGGCTTTTTGTAGCGTCAGAGGTTTCCTCTTGTTCATTTCAAAGTGATACAAAGGGCTGTTGCATCTTTGAGCCCGAGCTTCCAACAGCTGTACTGCTGGTGAGAGAGGAATCGACGCTATATTGGCCTCATAGGCAGCTAGATGCGAATTGGGCTTTCGTGCCTGAAGCTGATTCTGGGTCATCGCATGACAGCAGCGATCTGATGTATTTGCGGGATGCAGATGGCTGCTCGGACGGTGTCAGTTCTGCCGTGAATATGTACCGTGCGATGCAGCCATCACCCGTCAGAAAAGCCTACAGGCTGCAGAAAGACTCGGACGCAAAGTGCAAATGCTTCGCCTCGGTGGTAGGATGCAGTAGCCGCTGGCTGTGGTACAGGCAAACAGTCGATCGCATATTCAGGGCAAACATTGATTCGGAGCTCTAGCGCTGCCGAGATAATGTTTTTGTTGAATGCGACGGTTGGCCGCATATCAAGTGGGCGGCGGATAATGTTAACCTTCCAGACAGCTTCCATCAGGAAAAGCAAGGCTGCAGACCGGAAGCTAGCATCGAAGGATCTTGTTGACCAGAACACATAGCTTCAGGCTGAGCCTGAGTAAGTCAAGCAACCCCACGGACGCGGTTTTGCAGTCAGAACTGAGCCGGTAGGGCGGCAGACGCCACGATCCCTGATTGGGCACGCCAGTGCCGTGGTGCAAACCTGTCATCGGTGCAATCTGCGTTTACTTTTGGGAAGCGCAGATCATGCGCCCTGAGAGGCCTAGGGGACGATAGCCTCTGGAGGATGAGACTCTGGTGGTGTTGGGCAGTCGAAGAGGCTGGGGAGAGTGTCGCAGCAAGCCTCACCTCCAGAATTGATATCGGGCGCTTGATGGCAGTAATTGTTCGCAACAGGGAAGATCGGCAAAGAATCAGATGGGAGTCGGGAGTCGGCGAAGCATCGTGGCATCCAAGCAGCCATGTGCCATCCCATCGTCAATCTCATCTCGGGATCTGTCCTGGTGTTGACGCCAGTTGAGAAGACGTGGGTGCTGTTGTACCTTGTTCCCAGAGACGACGGCGCGGTCAAGAGGAAGGCTTTGTACCGTGTACGGCGGCCATCTGCCCGATGCCGGGCAGCCAAGCATCGTAAGTGGATGCAGGGAGATGCGAAGGCGGAGAGTGACCAGGAGGAAGCGTGGGCTCACTGACCTTTGGCCATTTGCAGTGGAGTCGGACATGGCGATGGGCATGACGACGGTGGTTTTTTGGCCCTGAGCTGGTAATACTGCTCGAGCAGCAACAAGACGAAGGCATATCGATTATGATGGTGTGGTGTTGGTATTTGGTCGGCAATGTCTTAGCAAAGACGTGCGGCTGGATCAGGAATGGCGATGGAGTCGCCGTGTCCATAAGGCGGATTTCCCGCTCTAAGACGGTCCTAAATGGTAGCCGGCTTGTGTCGACTTGGTTCGTGGCCTGGACGAAGAAAGGAAGGTCGACAGGTGCCAGACGCCAGTCTCAGACAGGATCGACCCCTGATATTAGTGACGAGATGCAAGTGCTCGATGAGGATGCCGCTCCTTTGTCTGTTCCCTCGGGCAGTGCTGAAAGGCAAGTCTGGGGAGTAGCCCCGGCGGTAGTGATTCGCCGAGATGGCTTCACAGTGTTGGGCGAGTCAAAGGAATTGCGGCCGAGAGCTTCGAGCTTGCATTCAATAAGCTGTTTGCTCCCATTGTTTGCTCGATAGTGGCTGGCAAACAGCCTTGATGCAATGCAGTTGTCCAAGCAGGCATTCGGTCAGAAATGTTGTCGGACAGATAACCGGCCACCTCAGCGGTAACAAATGGTCGTAGGGTAGCCAGACAGGCGAGTAGCAGGGTTGGCCAGGTGGTGATGTTGGCGGCAGTATCAAAATCTGCAAGGAGGCTGCTGATGACTGCGTTTCAAGAATCGCGATGGAAGCCCTGATGGAAGAAGGCAATGTTCCATCTGGCATCCCTCTCCTGGTGTTCCCTGGCGGGTGGTGGGGGCATGTCTGCTTGGCTGCATCGTCCAGTTTGGCGTGTGGTTGTCGTGCTGCAGATGGGCACGGAACAAGAAAGACGGAGATTTCTTTTGATGACGAGTATTAACTGTAGCCCCTCCTTACCTTCGGTTAGCTGGCCGACAGAAGGGCTGGAAGGTTGGAAGGAAGGGAAGAACAGGGAGGACAGGGAAGAAGCAGAAGTAGAGATACTTGGTGGCTGTTTGATTCCAGC